ATGAGTTGTATATATAGCTATTTTAATTACTACTACTAACTTCGGTAATTCTATACTCATTAGATTTCCGGCTTACTTTTACTTTAATTAAAAATCATAGTCCAATTTTATTTCCACAACGACAAAATGTAAAGTTAAAACAATAAACTTACGACGAGTAAATACATGACTTTCGACACCCATGTTGCACGTTTTATCCTGAACAATAAATACAGACAGGTCTGGACAACGATCAGTTGTGTACGGCAACTTTATTACTTATTATGACTAATATGTCATCTTTTAATCATCGAACATGATTTATTACTTCGTCTGATCGGTTTTAATACCGCTGTACGAGGGTTATTCCAAAAGTATACAAAAATACAACTACTGTCATCTTTTTTCATTTTAGGTCACTCCTTCAAAATAGTTTTTAAGGCGTTCTTTCAACAGAATAGTCCCGTTTAATATACACAAAAGGACACTGTATAAAGAGCTTTTAGTCAACAATGCTAAACAACGTCCAAAAATGAAGTTGCTAATCTATTTTTCCCCATTTAAAGGAACAGAAGAGGACAATAAGGAGCATCTCAGCATCAAGAAATCATTAAGTCATATTTACGAGAAGAACTATATACATGAGATATATCCCTTCTAGAGCGACGATTTTGATTACTGATGTTTCAAAACAATATCCTTCATTCTGGTAATATTTACCATTGCATGGCTATCGGGAAATCCGAATTAAAAGAAGGCGAAACATATACTGTCGTCATCTATGGAAGCGTATATGGTGTCTAAAAGAAATAAGTAGTTCTGAACTTTAGTCAGATTGTCGCAACAGGTTGACTTACCTATTGTGACGGGCAGTGCACCGTGAAGCTATAATGGTGAAAGTTTGTTTGTACCAATGGATTAGCTGGGAAAACCCCACGGATAATTTTAAGTACTCGACGTAACATCGTATAGTTGAGTACTATTGTCCTTGCGGGCATTGTATGACAAAACCGGTTTGGTTAGAGCTTTTTGTTTGGCGGGAATTGATTGTTGAAATCAGTTCTAGCGAGATTTTCTACGTGGCAATTTCAAATTCAATAATGTTTTATTAGACGTGTAGTACCTGTTGGTCATATTGATATGTTCTTTTTTTATGATGCTTAATCTTAGAACTGGTCAGTGGCAGAAATCGCCTGTCTTAAATAAGAATTGCCCATTCAAGTCGCATTCCGACTACCTGTATTATAAAGTCTTATTCGATCTTTCGCGTTTCTTGCTTCTATACGTACTGTGTTAGAACGGGTACCCGTGTATCAAAAACATTGAATAAGAGGGAACCAAAATCAATAGCAAAGAGGTGGCCTGTTTCGCTGCAAAACCGAAAGTAGGGTGATTTTATTAATTTTACATTTATTTTTGACTAATAACTGCTACTTTTTCCTGAATATTATGTATAAATGAACATATGTAATAGGTATGATGCATATATAATCAAGCCACTGGTTCATTTCAGCCCGAAACAATATGTCGAGGTGATGGGCGAGACAAGACATGTCGATTTTATGTAGCTTATAGTGTGGTTGCAATGTTTGAAAATGGGCTCACTGCAATAAACACTCGGAGATAAAACATTTTAGTGTTCCGTGGTATACATATTTTCCACATGACATACCTCCTTTCGTCATTTGAAGGAGCGTGGATTGTTTTCCACCGCTGGTTTGTTTTTAGCAAAGAATAGCCTGTACATGTGCAGATAGGCTACAGTACCGTTGAGTAGATTTCGCAAAGTAGGTTACCGATATGGATAATGCACCGTGAGTTCGGTCGATTATCTTTTTTAAAGATACTTCTTGTTATTGATATTTCCGTTCTTATTAGGTTTCCTTATCATAATTATGATGCTAAAATAAAATCTGACATACACTGATGCACGGGTTATATTATATAGTAGATCTATTAGTTGATACTTTATATCTGGAAAATCTACGGCAATTCGTAAGCAGCGAGGAAGCGAGGAACGGAGAGTCTCGGTTAGATATCACAGGACCATTTGTGTAACTTACCAAGAGAAATGAAATTAAACGCGAATGTTGATTTTAAGAACTGTACAGTACTGTATCAAATATTTAAGACATCACGAGTTCATAGTTGACATACATGTACTGTATATAAAATGAATAAGGTGGAGAAATAAAAAGATCGGAAAACTTCCGAAAAATAAAAACAACGGCTTACCGCAATGGTGATCTGAGCGCTACTGGTCATTTATGACGTCAAACCACATTGAAGTGTTCGTTAAAGTTTGACGTCATTAATTGACGTCATAAATAGAGGATATTGAATGAGTGTAAGTTCAATACTAAATTTTTTGCACGAGTTGAATAAAATTATATTATGCGAGCCTCTGGCGAGCATAATATTATTTTATTCAACGAGTGCAATAAATTTAGTAATGATAGTTATTTTATTCAACGAGTGCAATAAATTTAGTAATGAACTTACACGAATTTAATATTCTATTTATCACATACCAAAAATAAAGACCGTTTAAAGTGAAATAAGAGTCATTTTTCATTGACGCACCTATAGTATAACGCTAACATTTAGCGCGTCTTTACACTATGTTTGTATAACGCTATTGACGTCACGTCAAAATAATATAGTAATAAGTCAAATAATATTAATACCATATTTACGGAGTCGCCAAATCGGCACGGATGTGTGATAAACATGTTCATTAAACTAGAACTCCGCGAGTCGGATGTTTTTTGTTGTTCTTTTTTTAACGAAGGTAACTTATTAAGACAACCGTACAATCAAATGAGCAGACAGCAGTTCCAACGTCGACAGCTGTACCAGTATAAACATGTCGGCGCACGAAACACAATTGACGGGCGGTAAGTATTCATCTATTTCTAACATATTCCAACTGTGTTGAGTAAATCAATGTTATGGATTCATAGTCAACATCCAAAGGAGCATACTAAAAAATTTCTGGCCCTGTGCAAGCTTTACTTCACGTGAATTTTGACTGAAAAAAAAAACACACTATCCGATGAGATAAGGCATTTTTATTTTTTAAGTCACAAAAACTTATATTTTCTCATGATAATATAGAGGATATTTGTTTAGTTCAGTGTAAGATCGGAATATATTTCACCGAGTGAGCACCAAAAGGTATATTTCACGAGTGGCGCAGCCACGAGTGAAATATAAAACTTTTGGTGTTCACAAGGAGAAATATATTTCGATCTTACACTAAATTAAACAAATTTTCTTTTTATTATATGCAAAGAAACGTTTTAAAAAGACATTAAACCTAATACTGAATGAAAAGCGCGCCAAATAATAATACAACGTGACGTCATTTACGACGTCACGTCATTAAGTTGGTACCAAGTTCTGTGCACGCTGGTATTTCACTGAAACAACGTTAGGGGCTTAAATTCAAAACAGTGAACTTATCAAAGTGGTAATTTCACTGTTTCAAACAGTGAAATTACCATTTTTATATCACTGATATATTTCTATAAACCACCGAAAAGCATGTAATAAAAATCCTTTTATCATACGATTCGTAAACGTCAACATTTCGTCATTAAATATTCCAATTCATATCTTCAAAAATGCTTTTCTGTTAAAGTTATAGGGTATTTAAGTTTGAGTGTCATCAAAATTTTAGTAACGTCATCAGCCGTTCACCTCTTTTAAATGATAACATCGACAGCCATTCATCAGCAAGAATGAATAACGCTGAAAGCCGTTCAAGGAAACAATTTTCAGCGCTTTTGTGCTACAGTAACTAGGAAAGAGTTAAACGTTTTTGTTCATTTAAAATATTACTTTATTCATGATACTTTCTAATAGACGTCATGCTTACGAAATCCATCTACTCTTCAATAATTTCTAAATTTTCCACCATAATAAATGATTTATTTTACAAAAAGTATGAGTATTAGTTCGTTCGTTCGTTCGTTCGTTAGTTAGTTAGTTAGTGTTAGTGTTAGTGTTAGTGTAAGAGTTCTCTTGACGGGCTTTTATTTGTTGTATCTTAGTTGAGAGACCTTTATGTCGATTTACCGCACTATATTTCAATATAAGAAAGGTAGCAAGATCTATAAATATGTTTCTGAAATGTTAAATTCAAAGTATGAATATATATAGGCAAATTTAACGCTTAAGACGAATATTCAGTCTTATAAATAAAGGCAACCATCAAGTGTTATTATAAATAATGGCATATAGTAGACATGTCCCATGCAGTGAATGGCTGTGTAACCCGAGATGTCTGCCATATAAAATGAGCGAGCGAGCGAGCTTCCATGCGGGCTTCTCATGATATTTTTTTCACAATTCAAAATCTTAATTTATCTAGTAACAAGAAAATTAATTAACAAATGTTTATAATATAATGAAATAAAAAAGTACAGACCAATGGAGCAATTATGTTTAACGCTCAACATTTAATTAAAATGGTGTTTCTCAAAGCAAGGGCTTCTTTAACAAATTTGGATTAATGAATTATTTATTTGTGCTATACAGTACTTGTGTTGTGTTCAACAATTGTAAAAACTATAAACTGGCGGGTTTCTGGCATATTTAATTTTCGAATATTTTTTCTTAACTCTGCATAACAACGGCATTAACAAATGAAATGTTCATATTCAACGTCCTTTCTACGGTCATTCGCGCTGTACCTCTGCTTTTGCATGGGGTGATGGTGTCTGCAAAAATGATAAGTGGTGTTCAAAGTGTCTGAGGTATGAACTGTCTGTATACGATTACTCTCCTGCGCATCGGTCGAATGTTCCACTATCGCTCACTTCTTAAGTAACGGGAGTGTATTCAGTAAGCTGCGAAGGGAGCGTAGTATACGATCAGAACTGGCTATCTTAACTAAAGTCATTATATTACAGACAAAAACTACATGGATGAATACACGATTTTAACTTGGGAGGACTTACATTGGGACACTTCAAAGAGCACCGAGGTGACTAAGTATGTACATGTATCGATACCGTGAGATTTCGTCCCGGGTAATCAATATTCCGGATACCAGAAGAAAGTGATTTCCTACCTGACATGAAGAGTATCTCGGATGTAAACAAAATATTGTTACATAAATTTGAAATCAGAACATTCGTTATGTAAAGTATGACAGTTAGATGTTTTCGAAGGTTCTATAGGTAGATCTTATTACTAATAGTTTATTTAACTTGAATGTGTTTGCAGATTTTTCTAAAACTCATTTCGTCTGATAGACAGGTAGGCCTACATCCGAATTTCTTACATCTGGCTTTCAAAACTTTATATGTTTATAATATCATATATATACTCAGTTCCTATGATATCACTGGTTCTATGATATCACGGTATTTACATTTTCTGTGACTGCGAGTAAAAACAACACATGTAGATGCATTTTTTTAAAACTAGATTCAGTAGATTGCTTAGCATGGTAGCAAGACACTTCACCCTCCAGACACTTCACCCCTCAAATTTTGAAGACACTTCACCCCTCAAGACACTTCACCCCCCAAAATCAGTAAGACACTTCACCCCTCATCCAATTTTTTCTAAAATAAGCCATAAAAATGCTTTTATATCATGTGTTTATTTTAATTGTTTTTAGTATAATTTGATTTATAATTTTTTAATTAAAGGACAATTTACAGACATTTCTAAGAGTAAATATTTGTTTAGTAAATAATTCAGAAACAAATAACACATGTTATTACGCGGAAAGTCCGAGGGCTGTAGCGCTCTTAGATAACATGTATGACGCGTATCAATTCAAATGAAATCAAATTAAAAGTAAATGAAATATTCAAAAAATATATATCCTATACCTAATGAGCTGTGAAAAAATCCTTAGTTAACTGGGAGCCGCCATTTTGAAATCCTTTTGAGCTAAATATAGATATCAGAGCACTTTTTATGAGCGTCTACATAATTCAGACCATTGCAAGCAGACGCATGCTAATACTTCCGGTGAATTAATGATGTACACAATCAGAATATAAACATAATTTCATTGATAAGAACTATAGTAATGATTTTAAATATAAAAAATTACTTTAACATATCCTTTTTGATAAATTAGCACATTGAAAAATAACATTAAAACAACAACCGTGATTAGAGACTAAAAAAATGGCGGACGGGATTTTCCAAACGCCGACACATGCGCAGTGGGCCCACTTTACTTTCGGTGATGTTCGGAATATTCCGAGCGCTCCGATGATAGGTTGAACACCACCAATTTATTCGTTTTGTTTACGGTACAAAATACCTGCAAGAAAGATCCTGGTTTACATGTACACTTAACATGTTATGCTAAAATCATAATTCATAAGAGCTTTCCGCGCCATAGGTAGCACCTAATTTCATATTACACATGTAATAATTTCTTTAAATCATTTACATATAACATGCAATAAAACATAACATTTTACTGGTTCTAAAAACCACATTCTTATAAATGTCCATAAATTCACCCACTTTCTCCAAGAACTCCTCAGTCCTTGACCATAAATTCGCATAATTCATGATCATCGTATTGCCCACTGTTATACATTATTAAGTGTTTATTGCATGTCACCTTGTTTATTCAACTTGTTGATTGGTTGTTTATTCAACAGTTATCTCATAATTGATTAAATAATTGGATTAAAAAGGTATAATTGTATGAAAATGAAATAAATGAATAAATAAATAATAGTGTATGTTACTTGTAAAATAAATAAATAAATAAATAATATTGTATGAAAAATAAATGAATAAATAATTATAATTGTTTGAAAATAACTAAATAAGTAAATAAATAATATAAATAAGTAAATAAATAATATGAATATATAAAAGAATATAAATGAATGAATGAATTATTTATTTATCCAATAATGTAATAAATAAAAAAGAACAATTTGTATTTCCTTATATACTTAAAAAATGTTGCTAACAAATTATTAAGTAAACTTACAGGTTCACATGCTATGTGTTGCCAGTTCAGTTTGTATTCAGTTTGTGTTCGATATATTATATCAAAGGAAAATTCACGAAAAAGGTTCACACACTTCAATAGAAGATATATGCTACAATTAGTTATATATCACTTTCACTTAAATTGAAATTAGTATAAAAGATATAAAAATAAAATAAAAAATAAAAAATTACTTACTAATAACTTTGTGATATGAGCCTTTTTTAGGGCAAAAACAACAGTATATATATCCATTGTCTTTGGTCTTTGGTCAATTACATGATAAAATAATAATAAAATATGTTAAAACAATAAACATACTCAATCACTATTGAATACATTTAACATTTTCTGCACAAAAAGTTGTTTAACACAAAATAAAAAATGGGGGGTGAAGTGTCTCAATCAAATTTCTTAAAATGAGGGGTGAACTGTCTGAGGGGTGAAGTGTCTGCAAAAAAGGGCCTAGGGTGAAGTGTCTGGGGGGTGAAGTGTCTGTAAACCCTTAGCATCTGTCAATAAATTTAATTTAGTGAATACGGTAAGAAAACTTTTTTCTATAAAATCTTCATATTTGTCAACTATTTCCCTTAATTCTTTTTACACAGTCAATTAAATTATGTTATAGTCCCATATATAGACATATAGTAGTACCCATATTTTTCATTTCAAATGTGTCACGGTTCAGAACTGTTCACTATGTAGGGGAGAAGATGTGTAAGAGGCCAAATTGCTCAGTGGGTAGAGCCGCAGAACGGTATTCTGAGGGTCCCGGGTTCGAGTCCCGGTCAGACTGCACATTTTTCTCACCCTGTGACATTTGGCGCCCAACGAGGGATTATAGCTCAGAGTTTAATTTACATTGCTCTGTAACTCTGTGAAATTCAAGGACGAATTTCAATATAGCAGGGGATATCAAATCAAGCAGATGCATGGACTGGTCCTATAAATATGAAGTAGCTTTGTGATATTTTTGCTTCTGGGCAAAGCAACAGGCTTGACCGACATAAACTATAATGAGACAAAATCTAAAGTGTCAGTCAGCAATATTTAGAAAAAGTTTAAATTTTAAATCGGTTTCACCTGTTCGTTGTCAAAAAGGTGACATTGTAAATGTTGGGGGATTTCTTCCTTCTGTTAAAGGGTTTTCCATTAATACCACCTTATAAGTGGACGATGTGATGAAAATCTGTTTAGTTATCAGAATTTTTACTATCTTACTATATTAAATAATTTCATGTCTTTTATGAGGAAAATATCATGCATACAAGCAAACCATTGCATGTGAATGTGTTGGAGTAATGGTACAGAGTAATATAGATAAGAGTAATAAAGATAACAGCGTTTAGTCTATGCTCTATTGACTGAATTACATCTATTTACCTCTGGGAAAATGTTCTCTTCAACATTTATAAATGAAAAATAGGGCTGATATAACAACAATTTTAGTTATAATGGGTTATATGTTATGTACCATTTCTGCTCAGTAGCTTTAAAATCATTTGACCCATTGCCTTCAAACTTCAATAACTCAGTAAGTAGATAAATAATTAACCCATTGCTTCTTACATCATGGGATGATTGAAAATTGTGTGGTCTTCATAGTCTTTTTCGGTTAATATAACTTTGGACCCCTAAAATTTAGGCCTGGACCCCGACTTTTCTAGTCTGTGCATCCACTGGACCCCTAAAATATCAAGAGACAATTGACTTTTAGTAGAAGCCAATTACTTCCGCAGCAGCCATTGACCTCCCAAAGCAACTAGTGACTTCAATTGAAAGCCAGTAATGTGATTTTCATAACAACCACTGATTTTCTTAACAATTTGTTATTTCCATAGTTACCATTGATTTTCATAGTATTCATTGCCTTTCCTGGACACCATTGAAGCAACGATTGACTTGCCATAGCAACCAGCGACTTCCATAGCAACAATTGACTTTATTGCAACCAGTGATTTCCAAAGCAAATATTGATATGAACTATATGATATCAGATCTAGATTTACTTCTTTTATCTGCTTTTCAATCATAGTAAATGATTATGTGTTCCTTGTCATATTGTCAGGTAAGCTATATAAGGGCCAGCATGGCCCTCTTCTTTAAATACATACATTGATTTCTTCTTGATTTTAGACAGTTTTATGACACATATTCAACACAAATTGTTTTCTTATCAAAGATAAAATTCTTTTAAAGATAAAAATGATTATTTTCAGCCAGGCACCAAAAATGTCAGATCAAATAAGAAAATGTTCAGACGGAGCTGTGTGGGGCATGCTTATAGCTGATGCACTATCTATGCCTGTACATTGGTATTACAATCCTCAAGACATATATACAGGCTATGGCTCCTGGTTGACTGGTTATGTGGCGCCAAATAAGAGACACCCATCAAGTATCTTGTCTCTTTCATCTGTAGGTTAGTGAATTGAATTCTTGTTTATAAATAGGTTTTAAACACTCAAAGGTAACTAAGATCTTTTTATAATATGGTGCTTTTCAAGCTGTTCAAATATTTGGTTTGGAGAAAGGGTCATGATTAGTTTATGACCCTTGTTAATTTTGAGGTCCCGAAGTCAAAGTACAGTCTTAAAAAACTGCTTAAATTTGAGTCCCTTTCTTAAAAGGTGCCTTAAAATGAAAAAAGGTGCTTAAAAGTCCATGAATTATATTACTCTCTTGAAAAGTACTTATATTTGTTGCAAATAACGCTTGAAAATTATTGAACAACAAAAGTGTCGGTAAAAATCGACAAATAAAACATGATACAATTTAGTATCAACAGCAACAGTAAGGGAATGAAATGCAGTTGATTTGAACTAATTTGGGTATGAATAAACCTTTTTTGTGCTATTGTTGTTTTTCTATAGAAACCGTAAAATGGTGACCAGAAAATGTGTATTTTATCATTGGTTAAATTTCAAGGAAACTTTACAGAAGTGATCAGTACTTTAATTTGAAACCCTTGTTTTGCATATTGTCGGCACATTCCCCTTTGCTGCATAAATGTTCGCTAGAGTTATAGACCTTTTTGCAATATGATTTTTCCATAGTAACAGATGTTGCCTTTCGTGCATGCGAATTTTGTGTAGGGCAAAAATGAATTTATGAAAGACTACATTTTATCATAAAAGGCTTTAATAGACGTGTATATCAAGTTTTGTCACCCAAAAAAGTAATTTTGAGATGACTTAAAGCGGTACATTTTTTAAAACATGATTTGATATTTATAACAGAGATAGGAAAGTATGCAGGAATAATAATTCAATGATAAAAACGTGCATACAAAAGTCCTTTATTAAGGTATCATTAGACGACTTTTTCACCAGTAATTGTCAGGTCCACGATCATAAGGGGGAATTCTTTAACAATCATCTTTTCCTTGCCTTTTTATGGCAATCTTAAAAATAGCCACAAAGCTATAAAGGTATCTTTTGTGTTTTTGTTAAAGGCTGTTTTATATAATTTTCTACTTTTTACCTTAAACTAACTTGGAATTGTCTGTGAACTTCTACTACATTTCTATGTAGAGTTTTGCCCTATAGATTGAGCATGCACGAGGAAACACTATTTCCGGTCGCTTTTTCATAGCAATGGACCACATCATAAAAAGGTCTATAGATAGAAAAATCTTGACCATCTTTCATAGGTCAAACTGCTGACAGGAATTTAATGAAACTTCACAGGAGTTTCTTCAGTACCAATATTAGTTGTGCATTGCCGGCACGTTTGTTTCTCTTTGCTGCACAAAATGACAGCCAAAGCTTAAAAAATGTTGTCTGGCTTCCACAGGTCAAACTGCTGGTGGGATTAACATGCGGCTGTTCCATTCATAGAGTAGATATGTGGGAAACATGTTTTTGGGACAAAAACCCTTTCTAGTTTAAGTAATGATATTTATATTTCAGCTTTTGAATGTCAGAGATGTGTTTCTGTTATTAACCAGGTTTTCAACGAAAACCGGGTTATTGTAATGCCGAAGTCGGCGGGCGGGCGTCAACTTTTGGTTTCCGCTCAATAACTTTAGTTTGCTTTGGCCTATTGACACCAAACTTGGTGTATGGATAGCTTATATCAAGAGGCAGCTTGGGATTGCTACCCAGGTGTCTGTGATCAAGGTCAAGGTCACTGTTACTAAAAATAGAAATTCAGTTTCCGCTCAATAACTTGAGTTTGCTTTGACCTATTGACACCAAACTTGGTGTATGGATAGCTTATATCAAGAGGCAGCTTGGGATTGCTACCCAGGTGTCTGTGATCAAGGTCAAGGTCACTGTTACTAAAAATAGAAATTCAGTTTCCGCTCAATAACTTGAGTTTGCTTTGGCCTATTGACACCAAACTTGGTGTATGGATAGCTTATATCAAGAGGCAGCTTGGGATTGCTACCCAGGTGTCTGTGATCAAGGTCAAGGTCACTGTTACTAAAAATAGAAATTCAGTTTCCGCTCAATAACTTGAGTTTGCTTTGGCCTATTGACACCAAACTTGGTGTATGGATAGCTTATATCAAGAGGCAGCTTGGGATTGCTATCCAGGTGTCTGTGATCAAGGTCAAGGTCACTGTTACTAAAAATAGAAATTCAGTTTCCGCTCAATAACTTGAGTTTGCTTTGGCCTATTGACACCAAACTTGGTGTATGGATAGCTTATATCAAGAGGCAGCTTGGGATTGCTACCCAGGTGTCTGTTATCAAGGTCAAGGTCACTGTTACTAAAAATAGAAATTCAGTTTCTGCTCAATAACTTGAGTTTGCTTTGGCCTATTGACACCAAACTTGATGAATGGGTAGCTTATATCAAGAGGCAGCTTGGGATTGCTACCCAGGTGTCTGTGATCAAGGTTAATGTATTTAGTTTTCATGTTATAACTTGAGTTTGCTTTGACCTTTTGACACCAAACTTGCTGAGTGGCAGCTTTGGATTGCTACTTAGATATCTGGGAGCAAGTTCAAGGTCATTTGCTTACAATAGAATTTTCAGCTTCTACCCAATAACTTCAGTGCACTTTGACCTATTGATTGCTGTCACATAAAAACTTGGCCGTTGAAAACCTGGTTTTCGTCGCATTGCGGCGCTTCTTGTTACATTAATGATAATGTGTAACTGTACATTTACATTTATGTAGAAGGGAATTATAAATGTGCAGGTTTGTACACATACAAATAATTCCTGGTATTTCTAATTACAGATGGATCTGGCAGGACTGGGTGGCACAGTAAATCCAAACAAATTATAGGGAGTGTTATATTACACGATAAATTAAAATATTGGCAAGGTGACAGATCAACACATTATCATCAAGGTAGGACTTTGATATTTCTAACCCAGCTGAGACTATATATTAAATGGATTTGTTCTGCTTTAAATGTGAACCTTACTTTAGTTGTAATGGGATTTTTTTGTTAAAATTGTCCAACACCCAAACCTGAACCTCCAAAGTCAAGGTCACACTTAAGGTCAAAGCTTAACATGGCCATTTTTGTGTCCAATTCACAAGTTTTCCATTCATCAAAGGATTAAAATAAGTTTGCACAAATGTTCACAATAATAACAAAATGAGTCATTGGAAACACCTTGATCCATAACACCAAGGTCAATCTCATACTTAGCGTCAAAACTAAACATGGTATTATTTTCCTTGTCCAGAGACATCATTCCTCAATCTTGAGAAATAATACAATTGTGTGCTTCTTGTAGAATTTCCTTTAGACGGGCACATTTTAAATTGTAACAAAATCTTGTTGTCACTAAAATGGTTGAGAAACTCTAAAAAAACAATGTTGTGAACTAAAGTCAGTAAAATTTATTTATCCGAACTTTTTCTAGATTATAAAAGTCTCCAGTGGCATAATCTAAATAAATTGTACAACATTTGATTTACTTGAAATTATTTATACAAGATGGAATGAATTATAATGATTTAGAACCACTAAACTTTGATTATATATTATAACCACAATTATAGCTCAACAAAACAATTTAGAGTGTTGCTTATGCATTCATCTAACTAGTGCCTTAAAGGGACTCCACTGAGGTTTAAAAACCTAAAAACATAACATTTGCATTTCTTACTTAAATAAGCTGGGGCACTTTAAAAAGAAATATATGCAAAGATAGTTAAGAAATATACTTTGAAATAAATTGAAATCGTATATTTATGCTTTTCTTAGCGCAATTTGAGTGAAAAGCGTTTAGAAATTTTGCACAAAGGTTAGTGGTCTAAACCTACATCAAATGGTACATTTATCTGGAAAAAATATTTTCAGTCCCATCATGTCAAAAAACCTCAGTGGAGTCTCTTTAATCTTTAGCTTCATATATTTTAATATTGATAATTATAAACTATATTTTGATATTAAAATATTGAATGATAATACAGGTATGAGAGCTGGAGACAACACACTCAATTCTCTAACAGCTCTCAATATACTCAACACTTTACAACAAGTTGATCCAAATCTTACTAAGTCAAGCAGGAATGTAAGAGGTCTGGTTTTAGAAGAGTATGTGAAATTTATGACCACCCCAGGAACACATAATGACACATATGCAGAATCATTTCACAGATCATTTTTCAAGGACTGGGCATCTGAGGAGAAAAAACTAGTTACTGCAGAGGAGCTTTTAGAATTCACAGACAAAAGGTATTTCAAGCATAAGTAATTTGCATCATTGAAATTATTTCTCCTAATTATTGATAACTGAATTCTAATTTAATAAGACCTACATTTTATTTCTTCTATTAACCTTTAAAAGAACGAAAAGAAAGCACAAGGCATAATTTTCTGATTCAAAAAAATAATTTTTTTTATCCAGACCATGAAAAAAAAATTTGAGTAGGGGCAAATTTTGTGAGTCGGTCGCGTTACTGCAAACAAACATTTTTTTAAGGATGGCCTCACCAACAGATTTTTAGTGAAAATTTCATCAGATTTAACTGTATTTGCCTTGTTGAAATTTTGTCATACAAATAATCCAGTCATATAAAGAGAAGGGTCATTTTGAAGACATGTAAGTGCATGTTCTTGTGACATGTGATAATTAAAATAAGAAGAAAACAAACAGAAATGGTAAATATTATATGGTCCTTGAAAGATTTAAAAGTAAGAAATACAGTGATATGAGTAACAGTATATTTACAAAGTTAAGCATTATTTTTGCAATATTTAAAGGTACCAACAAAAGTCAAAAGGTCCTGGGGACTCACAGTTGGTTGTTATAGGTGCAATGTCTCCAGCACTTCCCTGGATCATAAGAAATGCCCACAGATCAGAAGATGAATGTGCAAGAGAAACAATTGACTTTGTGAAATGTACTCATCCTGTACCAGCAATTATACCATTTGTTGATCTCTATGCTAGACTATTACATGGCGTGATTAATGGAAAAGATTTGAAGCAAGAGGTTTTAAGGGTGCTGAGTCATTCGGAGCTAGGAGGACCTCGGAAGAGAGAAATGGTAGTCTCTCTAATTGAAAGAGCAGAAAGGTATTGTTATTAGTAAGTAGTGATATGCATTACTCCTTTCCATCTGTTACATTACAGGTGTCAAGATTGCTATTGAAGTGACTGGTTGATATACATATAAGGAAAATCCATGACCCCCCTGGGCGGAGCCCATTTAGACTTTGTAGAAGTTAACAATATAATGTTGCATACCAAATATCTAAGCTCTAAGTCTTGTTAGCTTTTACTATATAGATGTAAGGAGATTCCTTGACCATCAGGGCGGGATCAATTTTAATCCAAGGGTTCAACATTGTGGGCCACTGAAATATTGTTCAAATAATGGTCCTAGTGTCAAAATAAGCCTAGCCTTGGGGGTCATATGTATTCTTTATATATGTATACATAAAACAGGAAAAAACAAATACAGAAACAGAGAAAGCTAGAGCTAAGATATTTGGCATATAATATTATCTGGTGGACCTTTATCAAAGTTGTTCAAATTTCGCATCTAGTTTCAAAATTTGCCCAGTCGCATGGGGGTCATAGGTTTTGCTTACATGTGTATAGTAAAAACTTAGAAAACTTTTTCTCTGAAATTAAAAAGGCCCGAGGTAAGATATTTGACATGAAAAATTGTGTAGTGGACCTCCATCAAGTTTGTTTTAATTATGACTATGGGGTTAAAATTGGCCATGTCCAGGTTGTAGGTGGGGGTGGAGAGGTTTTCATTATGTACATGTAGGAAAATATTATAAGAAAATTATCTTATGAAGCTACAAAGGCTAGAGCTTAGATGTTTGGCATGGAACATTGTGGACCTCTACAAAGATTCTTAAAATTATGGCTGTTTGGTCAAAAGCCCGTCCCGGGGTCATGAGTATTTTTATATACATTCAACAAAAACTAAAAACATGTTTTTTGAAACAGATAAAGATAGAGCTTAGATATTTGACATGAAACATTGTCTGGTGGACCTGTATCAAGATTGTTTGAGTTAAAGCCTTGGGGTCAAAAATGGCCTTGCCCCAGGAGACTCAGTGACCTGCTGTTTTGTTATTTGATATACAGCTATGACATTTTGAACATGTGCACAGTTTGAGGTGTAAAATAGAAATCTGATATCAAATGACCTAAATAATGACCTAGTAACTAACATTCCTGTTTTGATGTACAGCTATGAAATTAGACCATGTTTATAGAAAAAAATAAAAAATATATTTTGCATTTTAACCAACATTGTTCCAATTTTTCAAATAAACACTAGCTATTCACTGCTTTTACACAAATAATAGTTTGTCCTCATGTGAGTGCTTTATTTAATGCCCCCATGTTTACAAATGTCTTCTCATCTGAAACCACGGAGTCTAATTTGATAAAATATCTCTGGGGTGTTCCTAGCATTAAGCTCTATTAAAATTGTTCAAATGGTTCTGCTCCATCAGAGTGGCTAAAATAGGTTTTAAAAATGAAAGCTTTAAAAATCTTCATCTTTTAAAGTGCAAAAATGTTCAAATTATAGCCCTGGGGTCAAAGTTGACCCAGTTTCATAGCTTTCCATAGCACTCAGTGTTTTTCCATAGCAACCATTAACTTTCTACAGCTACCATTGACTTTCCAAAGTAATCATTGACTTCGAAAGCAACCAGTGATTCCCATAGCAACCAGTACCTCCAATAGCAACCATTTACCTCCCATAGCAACCATATACTTCAATAAAAACAATTGACTTTCCATAGCAACCAATGACTTTCTATAGCAACCTCTGACTTTCCCAACCATTGACTTGCATAGCAACCAGTGACTTTCCCTTGCAACCTTTGACTTCCACAGCAACCAGTGACTTCCCATAGCAACCAGTGACTTCTTTAGTAACCAGTGACTTCTCGTAACAACCAGTCACTTTCCTAAGTAACCATTGACTTTCCATAGCTACCATAGCCTGCCATAGCAACAGTAGACTTTCCATTACAACAATTGTATTTCATAGCAATTTTTGCCTTTCCACAGCAACCATTGACTTTCAATAGCAAACAATAAATTTCCATAGCAACCAGTTGATTCCTTAGCAAAACTTGACTTTTTTCATAGCAACCAGGTACTTCCATAGCAAACATCGAGTTTCCGGGAATTTACCATTGGAACGATTGAATCTACTATTGACTATCATAGCAACCACTGGCTTCCACAGAAACTGTTTGAATAGCAACCATTGACTTCTAAAGTTACTTTTTGATTTCCCTTAGCAATAGCAATCAGTAAAACCTTTACATAAGCACTATGCAGATATGAAGATGAAGATATGAAGATGCAGATATGAACTTTTTACTGATACCAGTTTAAGCCTTTCATTTATAAGTAACAAGATTACTTGTTCCTTGTATAATCAGGCGAGAGATATAAGGGCAATCATGGCTCTCTTGTTTTGAAATAATTGGTTTTGGAAGCATAACTTTTGAAGAATTTCAATGATTGTGTTTATATTTGGCATGGAAGTATGTTGTATGTTGTATCAAAACACAGGTTAAGTTTGATTTTTCTCTGTAATCAATTTATTATTAAGAAGAATATGCCCCTTCATATGCAAACGATCTATTACAAATATGCTTTTACCTTAAAAGAAATTGGACTGTATTTTTTCACACCTAATGGAAAAATCATTTGTGCTATTTACATTAAATTTTCTATCTATCTTGGAGGCATATTTTCGTGCATGATACCTTCTTTAAAACTTGCCATGGGGGTATGTTGCCCCACCTCAGTGGAGTTCTTGTTGTTTATGGTCATTAAGTTCAATGTTAATGAAGATAATTCATTGAAACTTTCAACGTGGATGCACCTTGATGAGTTTAACCTGCCACACTTACATTCAGGCCAAAAGGTCAAATGTCAAGGACACAAGGGCCTGTAAACAGAAAACATTAAACAGTCATTAAATTAATGGGCATTGACCAAGGAGCTTGAAACATGTTATTTATTTGTACCTAGAGGCTCTTGTTTGTATCCAGACATAAATGAATAATACTTTTAAGTTAGAAAAAATACACAAAAAGATATTCACAGCTGGTCTACAAGTCTTACATTTTATGTACCTAATAATTATTGCTTCGATTGAAAGACTTGATATGTTCAAACATTGTTAATTTTTGTTATTAGGCTCTTCATATTAAAATGGGGCAAAAAAGGGGGCAATTTAAAATTGGCGATTGATATAATTCATAAAGATAATTTTCAAGTATATACAGTCGTATATGATATTTTGTATTATGTTAGATTTGTTATATAATTTGTATTTAATACCTTATCTTTATAGACATCCAAAAGGGTCTGAGGAAAGGCTTAGGGCTTATCAAACAGCTACACAGACGTTAGGGTCAGCGTGCTATGTAGAAGGTGCTATGAGCTCAATGCTGTTTTTAGCATATGAATTTGCAGAAGATTTTAGAGGAGGTGTTCTTAGTAATGCAAATTGTGGAGGTTAGTGATTTTGGCTATTTAAAGACACTAGTAAAGGTGTGTCATACAACTTTCTATCTCATTAACTTAGAAGGTAATCATTTTAGGTTGCTTTCCAGAACTGACATGTCTTACATGGATCTTCTCTTAATTTAACCTTTATGGACTTGACAACTTTAACCTAATGTGGTTTTCTTTCGAAACTTTAACACAATGTTTAGGATCATCATAATGTTAACTTTCAAACCCATTATATTTAAATGAATTTATGACACCCCGTAAAATGGAGGGGGAGGGACCCTTTGTCCATGTGTGTGTAACTGTGTGTGTACTTTGTTTTCAGGCCATAACTTTTGCATGCATGATGGGATTTCAAAGTAAATTAATACACATGACCACCATAGGTTGAAAAATTGTCATATGCAAGAACGAGGTCCACGCTCAAAAGTCAAGGTCAAAGATTGGCATTGAATTTTTCATAAATATTGTCTGAAGTTCTGTTAGAGTTTGTGTATAGACCATAAAGAGAATACCTGTCGTGTTCCAGAACAATGTAGAGGTATTGTGTATGCTGAAGACCCAGGTTTCTAGCTCAAAGGTCAAGGTTACAACAAGAGATTGAACTCAGAGTTTTGTCATTTAGTTCATGTGAAGCTGAATTTTGTATCATGATGGGATTTCAAAAGAAAATGGTACAAAAAGTGTTGCATGCAAGAAGCACACTTAGAGCGCACAAGCTCATACTTTGAGGTCAAAGGTCAAATCGTTTTGGTTTACAACTTGATCATTAATTGATGGATTGTCCAAATATTTGACATATGTCTTCACCACTGTCAGGATATGTGTCACATACAAGAATCATATCTTCAAGTTCAAGGTCATTTTGGAGATCAAACCCACTTCAGTGGTGGTGAAATATAGGGATCATTTCTCTGTCATCTGTCTGTCAGCACAACCGATTAAGGATAGGGGGCCATCTAACTGTAAACAGAACAAAAGAGAATAATAGCCCTGCCTCAGGGTGCCATTGATTTTCCTTATATATACTTGTATATAGTTAAAACTTAAAAATCTTCTTGTGAAAATCCAAAAGAACTAGAGCTTAGATATTTAGCAGAAAACATCTTCTAGTGGATGTCTACAAAGTTTGTTCAAATGAAAGCCAAAGGGTCAAAATTGGCCCAGTCAGAGGGGTCATTTACCTTAAATACATATAGTAAAGATTGTGAAGCTTGTCTGGACTACTTTGCAAAAACTGGTGCAATTTCATTCAAACTCAAGAGGAATGATCAGTACCAAGTCTAGTTGTGCATGCATATCATCGGCTTTTAATGGTTCAGAGTTATTGCCTTTTAATTATTTTTATTGTCCATCAAGGTCAAATTATTGAAATTTGCTTAAATTGTCCTAACTTTGATTCATTCTTGGACAAAAGAACATGTATGACAACATATCAGATATGATGATTAATTCAGATGTGACCTTATCCTTTTATTGACCATGACAGTGAAGGTCATATATCATATATATGATATTTGAATTATATTTATTTTCTAGGAGTATTCTTTACTACAATATTTTTCCTCCAATATGTTTGTCTTAAGTAATATGAAAAAGTCAAATGTGGCCCCGCTTCTTTGTCATAGAATTCTTAATAGATGACAATTTTTTGAGCAATTTTATGGTCAGGTATGTAAATGCCAAACTGCAAATTTGTATTGAAAATAAAGTTAAAATAAACATTTGTATATATTTGACTTTTTACTTCCAGGAGAAAATTGTCATCGTGGGGCTGCATTAGGGGCATTGCTAGGGGCCAATGCAATAAACAAAGGCAAAGATATACCTCAGAATCTTAAGGAAGGATTACAAGCCAAAGAAACTGTGAAAATTCTTCTGGAACAAATGAAGGAGTCTAACAATAAGCAATCAGTCAGTTGATAAAGTGAAAGAAATTTCAACAAAATTGTGGTTGATATATTGTTGAAACATGTTGGTGTTGAGTGTATATTGATTATTTACAACATATTTCCCATATCTCGAAGTGTCAGACTGAACTTACAAAGTTGTACAAAAGTGTAATAGTCTATGCATCAGAATTTTAACAAATTACCAATAGTTGTTTTGACTTTAAGAATTGATCTCTATAATATTCTTCATGTTTAAGGAATGTCACTGTTTCATCAACATTGATAGGTCTACTCTGAACTTTCATTTATATAACAATAGATTTCACCACAAAACATTGACATGTGCTCTTTTGTTAATAAATTTGTTGTTGTGAAATTTCTTATTTTAATCGACTAATTTGATATTTTCATGTAGAGATCTATGCATTGGCCCAGTAGGTCAGAGAAGATATTGAGCCATGCCACGACAAAACCAACATAGTGTGTTTGCGACCAGCATGGATCCAGACCAGCCTGCATAGTCTGATCAGGATCCATGCTGTTCGCTATCAGTTTCTCTACTTGTTATACGGTTTGTAAGCGAACAGCATGGATTATGATCATGTTGGTTTTGTCATGACGCGGCTCAATTATCTTTTGAAGAAAGAGATGCACATTGTTTTGAAGAAAGAGATACGCAATGGAATATGAGCTCACTTTGGCCATTTATACCAGGTGAGTTAATAATGGACAGTACATAAATGTTGGGTTACAGTTTAAACACATCTTAAGGAAAATAAGATGTTGATTATAGCAATTTTGTTTTCTGGAAAATTAACCACAGGACCAGATTTTGACTGTTAAAAATACTTAGCTTGTACCCACTTCCTTTTTAGCTGGTCTTTTCTGAATAAAAATGTTCAAGCCATTATTAAAGTCTTGTTGTGGTTGACGTTGCTGTCGTTATTGCATTCTGAAAAACCGATGCTGATGCCCTTGCCATCCAAAAATTTAAACGTTGGTTACTTTATTAGCTTGACTTTTTCGAAAGAAAATTCGAGCTATTGCTACAGTCATGTCATCCATTGCTGTTTCTGTTGCCATATGAAAACATTTAACATTGGCCATTATTATATATATATTTTTGTGATGGATTGTCTGTATATTTAAACATTACAACTATTTGGACAAGACCTTCAAGTAGACCAGACTGAACTTGACCTTGCCTCACAAATGACCTTCACTTTCTAGGTCAAATGTTTGAATTTGGCTTCATATTTTCAAAGTATGGATCAAATTTGTCCATTAATAACAAAGTAAGGACAATTATAGCAAAAGTTAATATGACAGATAAGGTCACATTAAGGTTAAGGTCAATTAATGTGTGGTTTACCTCGTACAGACAGATGGGAGGGATGGACAGATGGTTCCATTACTATATGTCTGGGGGCATAAAAACTGTGAAATTTCTATAATTTGACCTTCAATATTAAGGACATTTTTGAGTCAAGGTCAAAATGAGTTTGATCTTTTTTTAAAAATTGTCCTTTAGGCAGTTGCGCTCCAGTATAATGACTTTCAATTCATAAATAACCACGCTTTAGCACATATTAGCAAAAAATGAAGCCAAATGCCATAATTTGTTTTTGAAAAAGCAACTCCAATGCCTTGCGAACATGGAGATGTTAGAAATTCAAGTATGACCTTTATAAGTAAATGCCCTTAACATACAAGGTCAAATATGAAATTTCAATTAGTTCTGTACAGAAAAATATGTTTTTCGAAAAGCTTTTACAACAAGGTTTCCCCTCTGAAATGTTTATCTATGGAAATAAGTCAACAGTGACCTGCACTTGATGGTGGCTCTTTTCATCAATTTTGCATAATGATGTGTGGAGTGTAATATTCAGGTTGCTACAACCAAGGTCTAGGTCACACGTAGAGTACAAATGTTAAAAGTCAACAATTAATGTCCTCTTCATAACTTTTTAACTACTGAAATTTTGTAATGATATTGGCACAAATGATCACCATCATCACCTACAGAGGGCAACAACCAGGTGGCTACCCCCAAGGTCAAGGTTATAACATATCCAGCAGTCTTGTAATTCTCACCTGAATGATTTGTAAAACATGAAAACTATAACAAATAATACACTAGAGTCACAATCGAAATATAATTATTATAAGTTAAAACAGGACATATCACTAAAGCCCATGGCCTAAAGCATGATTCAACCAAATATGTAAGAAACTTCTCAATATATGAAGTCTAAAATTACCCATGGTTACCAAGAGCTTGACCTAAAAGTTCAAGCCAGACAAGATTCTTCTATTTTAGCTTTGGCAACCATATTGTGCAGTGAAGCAGAATATACCGGCAATATGTACAACTTTGTGTTTTTGTCAGCACAATAGGATGTGCCTGTGATATACACAATGGTTAGTGATATGCACAAGATTTTTTACTGATTAATCCTGTGGAGTTTTGTCGGAATCTCTCTAACAGTTTGACCTGAGAAAGTGGGACAACTTTTCTAGTTTAAGCTCTAGCTGCTATTTTGTGCAGCAAAGCGTAACATAACAGCAATATGCAATGAAGGTCACTGTACAGCAGTCAATGAGGGCCTTAACGTACAGTTACTGAAAAGGAAGTAGGGCTGATTAGTTCTGTTGGTGCAAAGACAAGGCCTACCTTTCATGCTGTCACTTTGTGCCAGGGTCACGAATTGCTGTAAAATAACATTTTAATTTTCAATAGTCATAGCCTTTCTGGTCTATTTCTACAACAGTAGTATTTAAAATGGACAAGCAATTTTGTTTAAAGCGAGCTCTCTGTATTCTTGCCTTTGTACTCATAGCATAAAGATAGCATAAAAAGTCTTCAACAGTTCAACTATCAGATTGTTCAATTTTTGCCAAAAATCTGAATAAATAAATCTTTAAATAGCGCGTAAGCATCGTTATTATGAACTCATTGTATGATGAGTAAGATTTACAAAGGTTTCAAAATAACTGACTCCTATTGATAGATCCCTACTCTGACCTTTTATTTGAATAACAATAGATTTAAACATTGACATGTGCTCTTTTGTTATCAAATGTGAAATGGTGAAATTCTTATTGTACCCACTAATCTGATAATTAGAACTAGACAGCTCAGGGATCTATGCATTGTCATCTACTGTTGAACTTTTTTAGTTTTTATGGCCCAACCTATTTGTAAATGTTTCTGTGTTTGTACCTATATCAATTATATGCAGGAATGCATACAATAAACTATCATTACTTTAAAGACAAGCATTCAAGTAACTGTTTAGAATTGCCACAAAGTTGTTTGGTTATTTGTATTGTTTTAAACAGCCACACTGAAAAGATACACTTTGTTACCAAAAGCAACAATGATTTTTGGAAACAGATAATATTCATGGGAGAGACACAACTGGCTAAGAATAAAAAAGAGATTTTACTGTTGACTAAAACTTATTATATCAACTAAAGTTAATCAAATAAAAGGGCAATCCATGAAAGAAATGTATATAAAATCAACAAAAACAGAAAATCAAGAGATTTTATTGTTTTCTTGTGTAAAGAAAGAGGTATACAGTTATAATAAGTGGGCATTGTTGATGATGGCCCTTAATCGCTCACCAGGTGATGAAGTTTACATAGACAAGATTTAATTATCAGGATATTCATATTTATTAAGTTTATCAAAAGCAACCCAGGATAGAGATCTATGCCGAAATTTATATTTATCTTTTAGCTCTGGTGGCTATTTTGTTTCTCAGACAAGAACCATATGAGCACTCTTTATAAAGGACCTTTCAAAAAATCATTCCTGTAAAGTTTTATACTTACTGGCCAAGGGAAATAAGGAGGATCTGTTGGGTAAGTAAAAATGTTATGAGACAACAGTACATGCCGGACAATGAGTGATCTCAATAGCTCACCTTGAGCATGTAGTGCTCTGGTGAGCAAAAAAACCAGATCAATACAATATTTAAATATCTAAATATGAATACATCAACATCAAAAACAAATTACATCAATAAATCTATTCATTATCCTGTAAAATATATTATGTACACATCAGATTTGTCAGTAACTTATATAACATTTTGTGATTCAAAATCTTAAATCATGCTTAAATCAAAATATGTTTATGATCGTTAACTTCTGCAGGAAAAGTTTAGTTAAAAATATAAATAGAAAAGCTGTCTACAGCCTAAATTGCCACATTAAAAATAAAAATTTATTTAAGATACCTTAATTATATAAAATGTATATCTATTATGTTCAAAATAATACCTATATATACAATGTATTAGTTAGATTGCAATATCTCATTCCTAGCTTTATCATCCAGACATCATTTTATATATCTTATATTCAAGATTCAAGTAACAGTTTAAATGGTTTGTGTGATTTATGACTGATTCTTCAGTATATATTACTTTTTTTTCTACTACACATATATTGAATTATTTTGGTAACTATATCTGGATTGCAATGTGCTAATTACTTTCTTTGTTCACTTAACAATAATTTACTTTTACATTTTCAAAATTTTCATGAAAATTAACAAGAATCTAAATGAATGCTGCTTTAAGTAACAGTGACTTTGACCTTAGCTGACCAGAAACAATCCCAAAATGAGGCTTCCACATATTAAGCTTACTATTTACGAAGTATGATCAAAATATCTTGCTCCAAACTCTTTAGTCCAGAAACCATTTTTATTAACCTTTATGGCGCAGGGTAAATGCTACTACTGACTGTAAATATGTCCATTTAATGAAATCAATAGCTAATAATTTTAATTCTGCAGAAACATTGTTCAATTTAAAATTCTCTTTGCCAGTACAGTCAATACTCCTAATATAGACCTTGCTTATTTTTAAGACTCATCAACTTCGATCAATGCATGTTTCCTCCCTTTTCTACCTTAATGTGCAGAAAAATTTTCTTGCATTTTATTATTAGGAGCATAGCAGAATGAAGTTCAGTACTTGAGTACTCCTTCATTTTTTCCATCATAACAAGTTAGCCTGTCGATTTCAAGTGCTCACAAATCAACACCGTCCCATGTACTTTCGTTTTATTTAAATTAAAGAATTTGACTATAATTAGGCGCAGAAAAATTAAATTAAAAATAATCAAATTACATCATATTTATTACAAACGTTATTATAATTATTGCAATAGCAAGTTTAAATACGGATATGAACAGTTTAATTTCTCTAATTCTTGTCTTGAAAAAAATATAGACTGGATCTCGGCGGTCAACAAAGTTTAAAAGGGGTTAAAATCTAGTCCCTATGTTTAATTCCAAATAGCAAATACGCCTATGTATGTTTCAAAATAGTTACTTCCGCTACAAACTGTTACTGAATATCATAAAAGCTGGATGGCATAAGCAACACATGTGCGCGTGTCAACCATTGATCGCCTATCATTTTCGCACCTCTGCAAGGATGTTTTGATTACATTTAACAGGTAATTAATGAAGATACATGCATATCTCCGAAAATTGGACACATCAATCTTTCTTAATGGTAAAAAATATAAATTATATATTCTTTCCGAGTAATCAAATATCAATTTTGTTAACCGATATTTGGACGTTCGATCGAGTACTCGGTTAACTGGTTACTCGTTGCCATCCCTAATTTTTATCTCTAATTATCAGCATTTAGCAGTGAAGTTTCAAGTCTTGCACTCCTTTTTATTATTATCTTGAACAAAGCTTAGACAGCTGTCCCATTGAGGTGCTGCAAAAACACCATGTAAACAATTTTGACAGTTGTTAATTCTCAAGTCTAAAGACTTAATTTTGCATAATTATGCCTAATTAAAAATGGTAAATACCTTGGCAAAAAAGCAACAAAATAAACATTCACTTATGTTTACTTACAAATAATATATTCATAAATATATTTATAAATGTTGTAAATTGATGGATTATAAACATTTGTAATTTCTCTAAAAATTCCTTTAACATATAAAACAAGAATATTATTGACACTGAAAGATGCTCCAGTCATTTTTGAATTGCCTTTAAACATGGAAAAGTAGAAAATCTATTGTTAGCTTCAGTAACCTTGCCCAAAGATGCAAAATATCAGTCCTTTAGTAAAGAAATGGAAAATATCTGTGCAGAGGGAAGGAATGAAGGCGAGAAGGAATAAAAGATAAACTGCAATTGTGTCCTGAGCATTTAAAATTATCAAAATTTTCATAAAAATTGATAAATCAAACAGAAACACAGATAAGAGGACTGTATCACCAGATTCTAAAGGCTTTCAATTACAAAGGACAGATACTATTAATAACTATGTAGTAAAGCATGCATTAGGTCAACATTAATTTGATAATACAGTTCAAATGTGCATGTAGTCAAAATTCCATAGCTGTAGCTACAAATATTTACTAATTCAAGGGCAATAACTCTAGAAATACTAGATAAATCCACAAACGAAACACCAGGTGCACAACTTCACATGCTGACCATAGTTCCTATTAAGTTTCATGACTCTAGGTTAAATACTTTTTGAACTACCCACAACACAAATTGAAAATTTTACGAAGTCAAGGGAATATCTTATAAGTTATTCTCTGGACAAGAGTGTGACAGAGAAACAAGGCGGTGAGTTTTGGGGAGCATAAAAATTGGTAACTGTCCACTAGACATTGCTCCATACCAAATATCTACGCTCTTACCCTAAATTTTGAAGTTTTTATTATATACATATTAGGAAAACCCATGATTGGGCCAGTTTTAATCTTGAGCTTTAATTTGAATAAAAACTTTGTAGAGGTTGACAAGACAATGTTTTATACTAAATATCTTAGGTCTAGTCTTTAAAAACAGTTTTTAAAGAATTTTTATGTTACTGATATACATGTAGCTAAGGAACATCTTACAAGTCAACATCTTATCCAAAATACTTCAAATGAATCAAATGTAAAAATCTAAATAAAATTTAAAAAATCTAAATTCACTAAGTATAACAGTTAAAACTTTTACACATATATGTCATACAAAATACAATCTTATCAAGAATATGAGGCAATTTAAAAAAAGAAGTGTTTCAATAATTTTACATAAACATTATTTCATTGTCAAAAGTTCAGATTATCTGGTCTCTGCAACTGATGTAATTGGAATAGTTTTAATCCAGCCTAATCTCTCTGATCAATAGCCTTTGAGGGATTTCTTTTGAGTTACAGGCTTTTAGTCAGTTGATTTACAAAGAAATGAGGTGTATCTATCTATATCTGACACTTCAGCACTGTCTTCTACATCATGAGATGTTCCTTCTGAGGTTGGCTTAAGAATATTATCCATCATGAAGCCCCTGTTTGGAGCATCAGTTTCTACTCTAGGCAAAGGACTTGAACGCTGTAGAGGTGGTGGTCCAGGAAGTCTTGTCGGAGGTCTCACTTGATGATTAGGGCTGATGCTTTGTTGTGAAATAGGAGGACTAAAGCCTGGTCTATGCATATCTTGTTGAGGCATATTTGAATAGTTATAAGGCATTCCTGGGTATGGACCTGGACATTGTTGGTTTGGTGGGATTGACACAAGGCCTTGAGGACCCATATGGTAAGGCAGTTGATAATCTGGATACCCATGCCTTTGCCCTTGATACTGCCCTTGGTGAGGATGGTAATATTGTGGATTTGCACCATGGGGATTCTGGTGTCCTAATCCTTCGCCTTGGCCTCCTGTAGGCCTGTAATTTCCTTGAAAGAAACTTTGCCCTTGTTGCATTGGACCCATGTAAGAGCTATGTTGCTGATAGCTGTTTCCCTGGTTAGGTGGATACTGAGGATGTCCTTGAGGCATTCCCTGAGGACCAATGTGATGGGGATGGTGAGGTCCAGGGCCGCTTTGACCATAAGGTGGGGCTGGATTTTGATAATTCTGAAAACCTGGTTGACCAATAAAGCTTGGCATATTTGGAGCCTGATAACTTGACTGTGTGTATGGTGTAAAACTGCTTTGGTGTGAACCTTGTATGTTCTGATTTCCCATTGCAAGGTCTCTCATTCCTTGAAGAGGATTTACAGGATTTTCACCTGGCCTGTTCTCATTCAATCTACCATCTGTAACTTGCTTGTTTTCAACAATTACACCTTGCCTTACTTCTGGTTTCACTACTCCTACTGGGGCATTATGTTTATTTCTTGCTGACAATGGACTGTCATCCTTACCCTTTTCTATCATTTGTGAAATTTCTGTTGCATTCTTATTATCAACCTTTTGTTCTTCAGATTTTTCTGCTTCATCAATCTTCTTTGGAGCATCTGTCTGATTTTCTGAAGTATCTTCTGTCTTCTGTTCTTCATATACACCACTGTCAGCTTCCCCCTTATCAACATGTATGTCTGGACCAGACACTTCAGCAACTTTTTCAATCTTTAGTTTGTGACCTCTCTTTTTCTTAACAGGTATTTCATCACTGTTAGTTTCACTAGCTTCTGGTTTTGCCTTTGGTTTTCTTCCACGTTTCTTGGGTGTCATTTCTTGCGTTGTATTATCCTCATTAACAGTTTCACTTTTAGGCTTCCTACCTCTCATTTTCTTTTGTGATGTAACTACAGCTGTAAAATTATCTTTTTCACTAAATGCCATTTCATCTTTCATTTCCATTGTTTCAACAGTATCTGATTCCATTTTATTTTCATTAAAATTACAATTTTCCACTTTATTTCTTGTTTCACTGACATGTTCTTGTTTCCCACTAACTCCTGTAATTGTTTCATCTGTACAAACCATGTCTGATTTACCTAATTGATCTCCTTTCTCACCACCTTTTTCTTCTAATTTTTTGGAATTCGACACAATTTCATCAGTATCTACACCTATTTCTTCCCACCCACTTTCTTCTGAGTCTTTCCCAGTGTCTTGTGAGTCATCTCTCTTCTCCTCATCATCACCTCTGTCATCTTCCTCAGAGTCAGACTTAATAACCTTTTTCATAATCTTTTCCTTTGTCTTTTTCTTGTTTTTAGTTGAATCAGAGTCACTGACCTCAGTTTCAGAAGAATCTGTCTCGTCATTTTCTTCTGTTTCTGATTCAGATTTATCTGAAAGCTGCTGGATTTTTTTGTCTTTGGATTTCGAAATTTTGCTTCTGTCTAAGCTCTCATCTGTCTCATCACTGTCATACCTGTAAGCAAATAAACCATTATTAAAGAAAAGAAGATAACCATTTCAAAAGCATTCATTTTTTCAGTACTTACCTGCCCATGATAGTCATCAAATATTTAAAGTTTGTAGTGAATACCTTTGACAGTTTTTGAGAAAAAGGCAAACATTCTATATCAAAACAAGAGTACCCCTAAGGTGCGGAAATATATGCCTGAATGAAAATTTGAGTAATTATAAATAATCTTTCATCTATGAAACTTGACCAAAAATGTTTTTATCTTAATCATTCTTATAATACTAAATGACCCCAGGGTGGACATTTTAATACCCTAGGTGCATTATTCATTCAAAATGTGTAGAGGTCTACTAGGCAATGCCATTTGTCAAATTTATAAGGTCGTAGAATTGAAATAAAATAAAAATAACAGGTGATCACAAGGGCAGGGACAATTTTGACCTCTGGTCAAGATTAATATAACTTCTGTAGTAGACCTACAAACTGATCCTACAAGCTAAATATCTGGGCTTTAATATTTTGGAGTAAAAAAAATAAAGCACATAAGTCTACATAAACAAAGTGTGTCCTAAAGTACTTTGTATGAACAGACGGATGGTTAAATTCCTATGTGCCCTGGGGCATAATAAGACTTAAAATTGAGTACCAGCACCAGTAGTTTTTGAGTAGTCCGGACAAGTTTTGTTCTGAACAAAGACAGATGAATGGACAGATAGATGGACATAAAAAAGAAGTGATCTTTATCAGTTATGGCTACTTTGTAGCATGTATCAGCTATGTGTAGCAGGCAACACATTTAAAACATTAACAGGCCAAAATCCCTTTTTATTCAAGGGCCGTATCTTGACCAAAAATCATATAAGAAAACCTGTGTAATATGTGCAAGTACTTGAGTAACTGAAAAATCCTATAAAATGTCATTCAAATTGCATTACTGGTATTAAAGAAGAAGTCCAGACAGACTTTAGGAATAAACATCATTAAAAGGCCATAACTCTGACAATAAGAGTCACCGCTGGAAGGGGGCAACACTCAACATTTTTTCACTTTTTCTAAAAGCAAACAAATAAATGGTTCAAATATATAAACCTTTAAAAAGAAAATTAAAGAAAAAAAGATTGTATTTGCGAAAAAATGCCATGCCACTGCATAAATTCAACTCCAAATAATCAGAAACAGAAGTAAATTTTTTTTCTTTTGTTTCCATACAATTGAACTTTGCAATAATGCAGTAGTGTCTTGTAAATTCAGAAATCAAGGTCATATTTCAGCATGTCAAATAAAAGAGAATGTGCAGATATGTCTAATGTTCAGATACAAAGGTCACAGTACATTAATCGATTCAAAATAAAGGTATTCTTACTTGATAAAAATTTAGGTATTTTCTGTATTACATAGCTGTATTAAACTTTGAAAAACAGTTACAATATTTTTCTTAAATACTATTTTTTCAATTAAGCATTTACTGTATTCCTAGAAATAATTTCGTGCTTTGTAAGTTAGCGTTTTTCACAGCCAATACATTGTCAGGAATGTTTGTATCCGCGAAAAAGTTGCATGTAACAAATCCGCGAACGTGTAGCTTCAACCACTTAATTTAGCATTATGTCATTATGAAGTACTATCATATGGTATGCATAACTTATGCTTAACTGATACACATTCAAGGTAAAATTTCACTGTACAAAAAGTTTTAGCTTTTGATAGTATCTATTATTTACGGATTAAATACAAGAGCTGTCAGAGGAGACAGCAAAGCTCGACTAATTAAATATTGGACACAGTAAGGAAGACAAAACTATGAAAGAAAAATTAATTATGATATAAATATATTTCTTGTAATGACAAAAAGTAATTGCTGTTAACATAAATTCCAAGTTCAAGGGAAGAAAACTCTGGAAATATTCACACTAGAGTTATGGACCTTGTCACACAACAAGTGTGTAATGATAAGAAATATATATTTGAAGTTTGAAGTAGATACCTTAAAAAGTAAAGAAGTTATTATATTTCTTAAAGAAATTTCTAAGTTCAAAGGGAGATAAATCTGAAAATATTGCTTCAAGAGTAAAGAACCTTGTCACATAAGATTTGGTTGATGATAAGGAATAAGTATTTGAAGTTTGAGGTAGATACCTTTAAAACTAAAGAAGTTATAGTCAAAAATAACATTTTTCAAGTAAAAAAATCTAAGTTAACGGGGAGATAATTCTTGCAATATTGGTACAAGAGTTATGAACCTTGTCACATAAGATCTGACTGATGATAAGGAATAAGTATTTGAAGCATGAAGTTGATCACTAAAGAAATAAAGAAGTTACAGTAAGGAAAATTCTAAGATCAAGGGGAGATAAATCTGAAAATATTGGTGCCAGAGTTATGAACCTTGTCACATAAGATCTGGTTGATGATAAGAAACATATATTTAAAGTATTAAGTTGATCCCTTAAGAAATAAAGAAGTTACAGTAAAAAATAATATTTTTTAAGGAAAATTTTAAGATCAAGGGGAGATAAATCTGAAAATATTAAAAAATTAGTGCTATAGTTATGAACCTTGTCACATAAGATGTGGTTGATGATAAGGAACATATTTTTGAAGTTGATACCTTAAGAAATGAAAAAGTTATAGTGAAAAATATTTTACTGCACCAAAACTTTAATCTGAAATCTGGACGCTGATGCAGACGCCAGGGCGAGTAGGACAGCTCTCCATACACGTAGTATAGTCGAGCTAAAAATCATTAAATACATGTTATTGACAGTTTACGACCTTGAATTGAGGTAATTTTACTCGCTAAAAAACGAAAGTGTTATTGTTAGTTACAAGTACAATAGCAAATAATACCTTTATGGATAAGGACTTCCTGTACATTTTTTATGGTTAAAATTTATTTTATTCAAACAATGAATTTGCTTTTGGATAGTAAGGTTTGACGTTATGATTTTAACTGTAAATAACATTATTTGCAACAAAAAAAAAGAATTTTGGATGCCTTTTCATTTTTCTAGTATTAGAGCATTACGTCAGAAACGTATCTTAAAGCTTGCATATAGATTGTTTATAGGTAAAATTTGGTCAATAACATATGCCATAGTCTTGTCTTTCGGATATAGAAAATGTAATTGTAATTAAAATGTATATATGCTCTTTACCCAAGTGACTTAATATTTGTGAAATTTGCAGTCACTATGTTTACATGAAAGTTTGTCTCTGCGAAATCGAAAACTTTATGAAAATCGCAAAATATTGTTTCTGCGAAAGTTTCTAGGAATACAGCACCTACTTCCTACTAAATCATCATTATATACATGGTTTGAATAATAATGTCCTTATTAATAATTACACAGGTGAATCACTAAACGCCACCACATCACAGATGCTGCGGTGGAATGACCTCCAATTATGCTATCAAATAAGTGTGTGAAGTAACAAGCAAATAATTTTAGTGGTTGAAACATGATGTTGCATATAAAACTTTAACCAAAAAGTTATGGTGGTGCAATGCCGATGCTAGAGTGAGTAGGATACCCCAAATATTCTTTGAATAGTCAAACTTAACATGTAAACATCTGTTACTACCTAGCTGTTTTAAATGGTGGTTTCTTCCCTTTCTTTGTTCTAGGCCTGGACTCATCGGAATCTTCCTCTGAACTTTCTGAAGAGGATAAAACTTTTCTAATTCTTTGTCTTTTTCCAGAAATTTGCCTCTCTTTGATCTCAGGTTTCTTCTTTTTATCAATTCGATTTTTCCTCTTGTCTTCAAAATCAGAGTCACTCAATTCTGAAGAATGAAATGAGTCATCGTTGTCCTCTACCTCTGTCTCATCACTGTTTATTTCTTTATAGTTGATTTTTGATTTACGAGGACGTCGCCTAGACCGTCGCTTACTGTCTTCCTCACTTTCAAAATCACTTTCCACAACTATAAATGGACAGATATTAATGAAAGAAATTAAAATATACAGAACTTTATACTATATTTTCATGGGGATAAAATCTATGATATGTGAGTATAAAAAAACTGGTGTAACAAAAGATGACCCTGAACTAACCTAAGAAAACATATTTATGTATCAAGATTTCTTTGCAATTTAAAGTTTGTTTGTTTACTTATCTGAAATTTTTAGTATCTCTTACAATGAATTACATAATTTACGCTCAATCGCTCATAAGGATCTTGTTCTGAAAAGTATACCTCATACAAATTATTTAAGGATTTGTTTTCTTATTTCAGTATTGACGTTTGGAATAGATTACCTATTACTATCAAACAATGTTCGACTTTAAAATCTTTCAAAACCAGCTGTAAAATTTATTTGCTAAGTTTACAGTTAGATACATGATGAAAATTGACCACTTTATATTGTTACTGTTGTAAATGTAGATATCATTATTTTTTTTAAATCATTACGACTATCTATAATAACTATAATTAATATGAGTGTCAGTCGGATGAATGAATGAAAATATCTAACCTTTACATTCAAGAATATATTTTTTTATTTAAAAGGATTTTAAATTTTGTATAGATCTATCGTTAAATCAGAAGTCTGTTCTGAAAATAAGTACACTTTCACAGTGTGAACTTTGAATGTTACCTTCTATAAATAAAGATTTTATTATTATTATCATCATTCAGAAAACAATTAGTTGCTGTTTTACTATATGTACATAACAATAATTAATGACCCTCAGGGCTGGGCCAATTTTTACCCCAGGTCCACTACACAATGTTTCATGCAAAATATCTAACCTCTAGCCTTTGTCAATTCAGAGAAGAAGATTTTTTATTTTTTTTACAATATACATAATAATATGGAAAACCTATGACCCCTGATTTTACAAATGGTTGCTCCCATAAACAGATTCACAGTGCAATGATGCATTGTCCTATAATGAAGTAACAATGGTTATCAAATTACACTGAAAATAACCCATATTTATATTTTGTTATCTTTTGCTAAAAATAAAATTAATATATAATTACCCAAATGATTAATTTCAATTACAATAATTTTGTTTTTACCAAAGTCATCTTTAAATTTCCTATTTCTGCCTCCTTTCCTATGGGATTTGCGTGTTGACCTTGTATTCAGTCTCCATGACGATTCAATACTGTCCTCACTTACATCTTCACTCTCGTATATTGATGATTTTGTTGCATCAGTTGCATTTGAAGCACTAAAAATATAACAATTTTAATTAAGAGGCCATCATCCAGTGTTACTGTGCATGTTAAAAAAATATAGAAAGACAAGAATGTCAGTCACATTGATGTAGTCATACAGCTAAAAACATTGCAAAACTATTAGGTTACATTAGGTCATCTACTTTTTAAAATATAATGTCCATTAGGAAATACTACATGCCCTGGGTACTGTTATTTCACACAAGAAGTATTAAAATGCAAGTCCCTTTTGATCCCTTTTTTGATCTCAGAGACATGATTTATGCCACTATTATAAAGAACCACAAAGCAATGCTGCAAGCTAAAAAATCTAATCTCTGAGCATTATAGTTTCATACAAGAGGACTTCAAGTGTTTCCAATGTATGTCTACATTAACTAAATAACCCGGAGTGGAGCCAATTTTAACCAAAGGAGCATGATTTATATATCTTTTGTAGAGCACAAGGTTATGTTACAAGCAAAATATCAAGCTCTGGGCATTGTAGATTCTTGGATAAAGTTTTTTTAAGACTTTTACAATACAAGTCTAAGGTAGGCCATTTTTGACCCAAGGTGCATGACTTAAATGTAGGACGAAACCTCACTTGTTGAAACGTCAAAACCCCAAACCTCAAAATTTCATAGAGTGGACAAAACATCAGACATGAATATTTTAGAGTGGACAAAACTCCACACCTTTAAATTCTATAGAGTGCACATAACCCCATACTTTGTAATTATTTGTTATAAAACCATACAATTCATATGATCACGCAAGTTCTTGTAAGAAAAGAACTAAACAGAATATTTACTGAAGTTTGATATAGTTACTTTAATTATTTTACATTATAGTTACTTTGTTCATGATAACTAATGGTATCCTATATTTTATTTAAATATATAGTACAATACGATTGAATGATAATAGACTATACAAATACTACAAACTGGTAAAATAAGAATCAAAGGGTAAACATTCATTAATCTAAATTAACAATAAGTGCCAACAATAACAGTTATTTTATTGTCAATCATAGGTCTATACTAATAAGTAATTTAAGTGTTAATTAAATTTAATTTATCCACTCTATAATATTCATGAGTGGGGTTTTATCCACTCTATAATATTCATGAGTGGGGTTTTGCCCACTCTATAAAATTTTGAAGTGTGGGGTTTTGTCCATCTTCCACAAGACTGATGTAACTTTTGTAGAGGTCCATAGGCCAAATATCTAAACTCTCAGCATTGCAGTTTTATATAATTTAGGTAGAGGTTTACAAGGTGATGCTAAATATCTAAGGCCTATGCATTGTAGTTTCTGAGAAGAGGTTTTTTTTAAACACTTAATTTTCAAAACCTACTTTTAGCTTCTGTCGCCTACTTATGCATCAGACTGGGACCATTTATATGACAGAGGGCAAGCTAAGGGTCATTCTTGTGAAGTTTGGTCAAAATCCACAAAGTGGTTTAGGAGAAAATGAAATTGATTCTAGCTTCAGGCACTGGTGACTGCTTCATCAACTTCAAAACCTAAATATGTGTAACAGAAGAATAAAGTTCATGCCTACATACATTAACACAACTTGCTTATAAATAGAACTAGAACTAACTCTGAGAGTTGATAATCATCAGTGTCATCATCATCATCTATGTCCTCATCAAGCTCTGTCAGACGGGGTTTACGTTTACGTACAGGTTTCTTTGGGGCTTCCTCATCTGATGCACCCAAAATATTAGACATATCTTTACCTCTGCTTATACCTGATAATAATAAATAAACACAGTTATATTCAATCCTGTATATTGATATCGGCATGCAAGTTATTTCTTAAATATACATAGCATAGTGCCAAACAACCTAGATTACTGAAATTTACAACTTGCAAGTATTATCACATCATTAACAAGACAAAATGTCAATAATAATTGGCATTTAAAATTAATAAGGGTTTGTAAAATTTATTTGTAAAGCTAAGTTTAGAAAGGACAATTAACCATTTCATTTGGTTACAAGAGCACCGCATGGGCGTGGCAATATATGCCTGAATACAAATTTGTTTTAAGTAAACAAAATTTAAAGTAATCAAAAATAATTTTAAACAGAGATATATTCTCTAAATATATGCATACTGGGATCCTACATATTTACCGGACAATCAGTTTACCGGACAAAATATATTCCTGTCGAATAAGGCTTTATTTTTGTTGCAATTCAAAAGTCATCTGGTCTGAATTACACACAAAGTAAATAACAATACCACTCTCATGTAAATATTGTTGATTCAGTTCTTTATTTCATAACATGCCATTTTGTTGACTATTTTATTTCATACCTGGTCATGCGGGGGAATTATTCTGCGTATGCCCCAATATTGAGGTCCTTAATGGGTTATTTTAGACAGGTTTCACTTATATATTGCATTATCTCAGCAGACAATCATAACATATTTTAATAATAGAAAGTATATCTAATTTAATCCAGACAGAATTTCATTGTTGTATTTTATAGGGAAATGCAAAGTAAAAACCACATTAGGAAACGGGTCACGCCCGATTTTTCAAACCAAGGGAGGAAACTCTACATGTAATGTAAATAAAAAATATTGTCTGGATTTTACTGGCTTCATGATGACCAAAAGAAACTGTATGACAAAGAAGAGAATTACAAATGAATATCAAAATTTACGTTTACTGATTTATGATGAATCAATGCGATAATTGAGTTAATAATGTGAATTTCCATTACACCCCATATATAGGCCTCTTCGTAACAAGCATGGCTTCCGTGAATATTTTTAGTGACATCTTCGGGTTTTCCTATATCTTAACATTGCCATTCAACAGTCGTAGCTCCCTTGCTGATTATTTTAAGATTAATTCCAATTCATGACTTCAAAATATCATGAAACACAATGTCCGGTAATTGAGTTGTCTACAAGATTTTTTTCCCCTATAATGCCCCACTTTGTAGACACTTTTTTATGGACACAAGAGCGATCAGTGCTCACATGTGTCGCCTCATGATGGCCAATTTCATGTTGGGACAAGTTTTGTGACAGACGGACAGACAGACTGACAGTGCACAACTAGACTTGGTACTGATCATTCCTGAAAAGTTTGGATAAAATTGCACCAGTAGTTTGTGAGGAGTAGTCCAGACAAGCTTTTTTGTATCTGGCAACACACAGAAAAAAACACCTTTTTATCAAAGGGCCATAACTCGGCCAAAAATCATTCAACCGGAAAACCCGTGCAATATGCGCAAGGACTTGAGCTACAGATCAATCCTGTAAAGTTTCATTGAAATTGCATTAGTGGTATAAGAGAAGTAGCCCGGACAAACTTTAAAAATAAAAATTATTAAAGGGCCATAACTCTGACAAAAATCATTGAACCGGAAAATGCTGACAATATGCACAACTAGACTTGGTACTGATCATTCCTGTAAAGTTTGGATGAAATTGCACCAGTAGTTTATGAGGAGTAGTCCGGACAAGTTTTGTGACGGATGGACAGACAGACGGACGGACAGACGACGGAGAAGTGATCCCTATATGTCAGCACTACTCCGTAGAGGAGACACAAAAATGTAAAATTTTGTGCTTGATAAGGTAACGTTTACCTGTATTAAGAACCCAAAATCAATTGGGTAAAATTTCATTGCTTTTTATGGTTTTAAATAAAAGTTATAGCGAAAAAAACATCATATTTTGTCCTGTAATATGAAGGATCCCAGTATATTTTTATCAAAAAGACTATACCTGGGGGTTTTACTTTCCTTGGTTTTGGCTCCTTTGGTATGCTAAGATCTTCTTCAATAGCATCCATGATCAATTCATCGAACTCTTCAAACCTGTAGCTTACAGACTTTTTACTTCTACAAGCTCTCTGCACAAACTTTTGTTTTGATTTTTTATGGTGAGTGTTTTCAACTTCTGAAGAACTCTCTGATTCAGTGGTGGACAATGAACTTTGAGTCTCATTACTGGATTCAGTTCCTGTTTCATACTCACTGTCTTTGTAATTAGCTTTCTTGCATGGTCTTTCCTTCTTAATTTCCTAATGAATTCAAAGATAAATTTATTTTTAAAATCACTGTCATATGTTCAAAAGTCAAACACAGCAGAGCATAAATATTACAGTTAACAAGAGACACTGCCTGTTGGGGCACTATTCAACTTTTTAATATTTTTCTTAAAGCAAACAAATAAACTGTTTATAAAAATCATTAAAAAGAAAGTTAAAGGAAAAAAAAGATTTTCTTTTTTTTAAGTCTAGTCATACTAAGTCTTGTTCTTTTGTGCAAGTTATAATGAATCTTCTATAAAAAAAAATTATATTTAAGATTCAATGATTTGATAGTCAAGTTCATTTAAAGGTCAAGGTCATATTTAAATTATTCCACACGTCTATTTGTTCACAAGTGAAAATTTAATCATTTGACCTTGACGGTCAATGTCATACATGAGTTGAGGTCAATTTGATTTTAATATACATGAAGGTAATGAACAAGAAGATGTTGTATCTAAATGTGAAGTTAATCCATTTATAAATAACCAAGTTATAGCCAGTTACAGAAAAAACAAGAGAATTTCATTAATTCCACCTTGACAGTCAAGGTCAATTTAAGGTCAAGGTTACATCTAAATTATTCAATATGTTTGTTTGGTATCAAGTCTTGTTATGAATCAAATCAATACTTAAATAACACAATTATGACAATCTAACCAAAATTCAATAATTTGACTTTGTCAGTCATAGTCATTTAAAGCTCAAGGTTCAACCTTAAAATAGGTCTTGTTAAAAATGTTATGTTGTCAAAGTATGAAAATAATCCATTTATTAATTACCAATTTCAGTCAATAATAGCAAAAATCAGTGAAAATTCAATAATTTAACCTTCAAGGTCAAGGTCATAAAAGAGCCAAGGTCAATTCCAGTGTATCTACAAGTAGGTCTTATCCTATAATATGAAGTCAATCCATTCATTAATAACAAAGTTATTACACACACAAACACAAAACAAAAAAAAACAAAAAATCGATAATTTCACTTTTGAAGACAAAGAAATGTGATTCAATGTAACATCAAAATAGAAAAATAGTAAAAGTGTGTATTATTAGAATATTATTCTCTCAGTAGAAAAAAGACAGTCAAGAAAAAGACTTATACAATGTGCAGAAAATCCTGTAAAAATTCTGTCCATTTTTCTGTCTCATAAAACTCATTTATGAGATCAACCCGCTATTAAGACCAGATATGCGAGGTCCCTTAAGTGGTCTTATTAACAAGTTTTTACTGTATAGCAGATAATAAACAGTTCTGGAACAAAATATTATTATTCATCATATACATAACTTGATACCAAACTATATTAACATTTCTTTTTAAAGCAATATCTCATAAAAATATCCAAATGATACATTACTATTGTTTTTATCAATATTTGTATCAATAATATCGATATTACTTATGATGTGCCCTTTATAGACCAATCCACTTCTTAGATCTTTCAAGTGCATATAAAAAGATTCATAAATTTATTGTTTATCTTTTCAAGAAACATACCCCAGGCTCAGGTTCCTTCAAGACATTATCCAAACTCACTGATACAAAGGCCAGGCGCTCTTTTCTGTAAAATAATGTTACAAATTTTAATGATTAAAATCACAGAACCAATAAACTTTTAGGTTCTTTGTAATTATACACATCAACCTCAGGCTTTTATGTAGTCACCCACTAGAAGATGCTCAATGCTAAAGAGCTCTAGCTCTTTGGGGTTTTTAATATAAGAATTTTTTTGGTTTTTACTACATACATATAAAGTAAATCCAATGACCCTGTAGGGTGCTGCCAATTTTGACCTCAGGGCTTTTATTTGAACAAACATGGTAGACACTCACAAGAAGATGTTTCATACTCAATATCTAAGCACAACACTGCTTCTCATAGTGGTGAACATTTCTATGAAGTTTCATTAGAATCCCTTCATATGTGTAGGAGATAACAATGGTGGGATACTACGTCATCGTGCACCTGCTAAATGCTACCACTTGGACCATTATTTTGCGGAAAATCCGTCGACTCGAAGGTGAAATATAATATTATTATAAGAAATATTAAGAGTATCAAAAAATCATGTAGCGCACCAAAGAATTGCTATAGTACTTGAGATCATTGTAAAAAAAGTTTATAGATTTATTGCCTGGTTTAGGCCTGAAAATGGGATAAGTGTTTTTCTTTGAATGCTCCCACTCGGATGTTTCCCGAAACATATAAGAAATAAGGTTGAAAAACCTTCTTGAAAATTATTTTCAACGTACCGGAACATGAACCAAGTCATGTTTACACATAATTAGATTGGTTTCAGATATTTCTATTCAAGACTCTTACCATTGCTTACAATAAAATTGTATTTTACCTTCGAGTTGACAGATTTTATGTATAAATGGTCCGAGTGGAAGCATTCAGCAGGTGCGCAATGACGTAGTATCCTACCATTGGATATGCTCTGGACAAAATCTCTATACTTTATCATCTTTTGTGACCTTGACCTTGCATATATTAACCTAAATTACACCTTTCACACCGGTAGTCATGATAATGACCATAATGTGCTTCAATACCTCAGTACATGATGACTAAATAGTCCGAATACACATTTTTATATTTTTATCTGAACTTTGACCCCTATGTGTGACCTTGGCCACAGGGATCTAAATTTTGCACACAACACTCCGCCTCATAAAAGTAAACATTTGTGCCAAATATGCAAGTAGAATTTAAATCCAGACAAGTCTTTTCTATGACCTGAAGGTGTTGACTTTGACCCTAGAGACCTGGCTCATGTGCGCGACACAGCTTCTCAAAGTGGTAAACATTTCTGTGAAGTTTCATTATAATTCCTTCAAATATGTAAGAGATATGCTCCAAACAAAATTTTTGATGCCAGCCTTGGTACAGGGTGCCCTACCCAATGGTTAATTCTATGATTCATTACTAAAAACTAGAGAAAACAAGCAACAAATTAAACACACAATTTTGACAAAAAGCATGACAGAACAAGCATTTACCTTCTGACCATTCTATCATTTTTCAATATGGCCTGATCCAATTGTTTTAGATTTTCCTCTAACTTTTCTTTTAATGAAGTCTGGAAAGAAAGAAAAATACATGCAACAATACAGTAAAAACATGCAAAATAAGGAATCCTCATAAAACGGAAACTAGGTATGCAGGATACAAGCATCATTAAGTACATGTATTACATCATTAAGTACATGTATTACATCATTAAGTACATGTATTACAAAGGGAGATATTTAAAAAATCAAATGTTTCATGGAAAACACACATCCTCTCTCTGGTCTCTACAATTATTTGATGTGTTAATTAAATTCTTTCAATACATTTCAAGTTATTCTCTTGATAAACACTATTATGCATTATAAAAGGAGGCAAGTTTCTTTTTTCTTTAACACAGCACTTCCTCTCACTTGTCTGTAATACTCTTTATACTATGTAAAGTTTCAATTCCGTAACATTGAAAGTTTAAAAGTTATATTCTGGACAAGATCCGACAATATCTCTTATAATTTTAGAGTAATGTCCCGAACAAAGTTCAAAGTGTCAAAATGAACAATGGGAAATAACTCCAAAAATAGGTAAGACAGAGTTATGGTTCTTTAACAATGCACTTCTACTCAATTAGATCTATCTACCTACAAATTTTCATGTTGATATCTCTTACACTTTTAGAGTTATGTCCCAGACAAAGTTCACAGTGTAAAAATAAACAAAGGGTAATAATTCAAAAATTAGGCACGGCAGCGTGATGGTTCTTGTGCACTGCAAACCTACTCAATGAGATCTATCTACCTGTTGATACCTCTTGTTGTTTCAAAGTTATGTCCCACACAAGAAAAGCAGACGGACAAAGCGGCGTCTATATGCTCACCCTCTTGGGAAGCATAAAAAGGACGGAAGAATAAAATGACGGAACAGGGTAACACTATATGCCCGGCAATTTTATGGCGGAGGCATAAAATTTTTTTTATTTGTTTCTATACAATTTGCAAAAATGCAGTTGAATCTAGTGAATTTGTGATCAAGGTCATATTTCCATTGGCCTAAATTTATTATCAAACATCCTGACAAAGTTTGGTGAGAATTGAGGCAAAAATGAAAACACTAGAGTGTTAACAAACTAAATCTGGACGGACGACAGACATTCAATAATCCTAAAGGCTCACCCTGAGCCAACTCATGTGAGCTTAAAAATTAAAAATATTCTTTCTTTAATCATGACAAATACTGAAAGGAATACTTACATGTTCACAAGGAGGACAGAACCAGTCTCCATCTGGTATTATCATTAAAGGAGGACGTAAACATGCTGTATGGTATCCAGCATCACATTTATCACACAATAATATCTATAAATATAAAATACAAAACTCTGTTATAGTGTTACCAACTTCCATTGCCTAACTGAAGTTTTACATGAAGCACACAACTGTCTTTTTTAGGCACAAATTTAGAATCTTGATAAATGCTAGATCTGTACATGCAACAAATTAATTCATTAAAATAAAATGATAATACTCTGTATATGTCTCAACATATTTTTGCAGTTTTTAGCACTGAAAATAATTACATAAATGGAGGTATTTTGAAAATCAGATGGAGTTATGATTCTCTTGCAGTGCTACTTTCACACTGTTATATTTTTATATTATAAGTTTCACTGAAATTAAGGTGTAGATTTTGTTTAAAGGTTTATCCATTTTTAGCTCTGGTGGCGACCTAATGTTCAGCAGATCAGGAAAATTTTAGCAATTTAAGACATAAGTCACTGCCGGGTGGAAACCAGGATTAACTTTTTCTTACTTCTTGGGACAAACACATTGAAGAAAGAAAATATTGCAGTAAGAAATTATCCCAGAAATTATATAACTGTCTTGAACAAATAATAATTCAAATTTCACATTTGACCTTGACAGTCAAGGTCACATTTGAATTAATTATCATTGCCAATTTTGTAATAAGTGTTCTTTTGTTCAAGAAGGAACCAAATTATTAAATAAACAAGCAAATGTTGCAAGCAATACAAACAGTTAGAACCCCAAGCAACATTCTGAAGGGACTTGGCCATTCATAAGAAACATATATTTGAAGTTGGAAGTAGATATGTTAAGAAATATAAAAGTAAGTACCTTAACAAATTAAGTAGTTAAAGAGAAAAAGATTTTACTGCATGAAATCTTTAATCTGAAATCATTGCTGATGCTGAGTGAGTAGGACAGCTCTCAATATACTACCTAGAGTTGAACTTAAAATGATGTGCATTATCTGCATACTGCCATCTATCCATATTTCAAGTTTCATAAAAAATATTTTCAGTATTTTTTGATTTACCACAAATATAGTTATATTTGCCATATTCTATTTGTTGCCATAGCAAAGAAGAGCTGTCATAGGAGACAGCGAAGCTCGACTAAAAAAATACTGGAAGCAGTAAGAAAGACAAAACTATGAAAGAAAAATCAATTATGTACAATTATGATTTAAAAATTGGCATTTGTTAACATAAATTCAAGTTCAAGGGGGAATAATTATGGAAATAATCAGGCTAGAGTTATGAACCTTGTCAAACAACATGTGTGTAATGATAAGAAATATATATTTGAAGTAGATACTTTAAAAAGTAAAGAAGTTATAATATTTCTTAAAGAAAATTCTAAAATCAAAGAGAGATAAATCTGAAAATATTGCTTCTAGAGTTAAAAAACCTTGTCACATAAGATCTGGTTGATGATAAGGAATAAGTATTTAAAGTTTGAGGTAGATACCTTTAAAACTAAAGAAGTTATAGTCAACTAGAAATGTGTCCATAGGACACGGGTGCCCCCACCACGGCGCCACTGTTCTGTCAATCTTATTACTCTATAATATTGCTTCAAGAGTTATGAACATTGTCACATAAGATGTAATTGATGATAAGGAATAAGTATTTTTATTACAACTAAAGAAGTCATAGTGAAAAATAACATTTTTGAAGTAAAGGAAACATGTATTTGAAGTATGAAGTTGATCCCTTAAGAAATAAATACATGTAAGTAACAGTAAAATATAATATTTTTTAAGGAAAATTCTAAGTTCAATGGGAGATAAATCTGAAAATATTGGTGCTAGAGTTATGAACCTTGTCACATAAGATGTGGTTGATGATAAAGAACATATATCATAAGATGTGGTTGATGATAAAGAACATATATTTGAAGTTTGAAGTTGATACCTTAAGAAATGAAAAAGTTATAGTGAAAAATATTTTACTGCACCAAAACTTTAATCTGAAATCTGGATGCAGACGCTGACGTCGGGGCGAGTAGGACAGCTCTCCATATACTTTGTATAGTCGAGCTATAAAGGGGGTAATCCTCTTAGTCATTTTGGAAAAAATTTGGTTGGCTGCCCCTATATACCAAGATTATTTTTATATGTTCGCCATTTCATTCTCATAGAAAAGTCACCTTTTTAGCATGAAAACTCAATTTTAAGGTAGGATTAGGGACCAGTTCACATGATGTAAGTCTATGGGAAAATCAATACGATAGTCTGACTTATATGTGTATATTATTTCAATAAACTGCATGAAAAATCCTTCTCTCTTCCTCTCGGTATGAGCACATTGTGGAGAAGGCACAGGCTTGACAGATGATTGAAGAACTTTTAACACTTGACCTTTAAGTGTGACATTGACCTTGAGGGTAGCAACCCAATTATTGCACTCTGCACAATGGTGATCACTTGTGCAAAGTTATTTTCAAAAAACACAGCTTCTCATAGTGGTGAATATTTCTATGAAGCCCGCCAGGGGATTTCCTATAATACAACCCTTTTTCAAACGGGCCTATAAAAAAGGAATGCTACCTTGATGCAACCCTCCCACCTGCATGCAAGGGACGATCCCATGATAGGTCTGTTCTTTGTTTTAAATAGGCATATAAAGACTTTAAATAACCTTAACAGAATTGGTCTTAAAATAAACCAGACAAATGATTTTAATGAAAACAATGTGTTATAATTTTTTAATGTTATTTTCTTACTTAAACCTTTCATTGTAAATCTTTAGACTGGAAACTCACTGCTTTGAATTTGAATCCTTTATTTATAATAACAAAATGCTAAAATTGAGGATTCAACAGTACAAACTCAGGTCAGCATGCACCACATAATTTATTATAATGTATAGGTGTAGGCAAGTAATTATTACCCCCATTTTATTTCTTAACTAGTATACAAAGTCTGTATATAATAGTCATTCCTAGTCTGATGTTTTTCAAACTTTTTCAATGAGATTTTTATCATATTAGTATATATATATATGTTACCCATTCTGGTTGATGAGATCTGAGACATTTAACACATGCTGCTTCTCCTTCCTCTTCCTCTTCTTCCTCTTTAACCTTTCCTCCTTTCTCTGAAATATTTATACCAGAATTATAACCTTAAACTCTGCATATCGTCCAAATTTCATAGTAATACATCAAAGGACGTAGGTCACTTGGTCAAAATCAAGGTCAGCTCATATCAAAGTTCAATGGAGGCTACATCTTTTCTATCATCAACATGTAAAGTGTGCATTTTATTTAATTGGCACATCTCAAAGATGCCAATTTTTACACATATTTAAGTAGTCTTATGTTAAAAAGAGTAGACGACAATATTTTCATTCAAATTTATCCAAGGGTTCAATTTAGAACCTATCAATTAATAACCACACACACTGAAGAAACTGTGCATTGTACACACAACAAAAGAATATCTCACACCTTAGTACAGAAGAATTACCTTTCATATTTAATGTGAAGCGTCACAAGTTTTTAGAAAACAAATGGTAGATGGTTAAAATCAACAGCTGGCATTGTAGACCCACTCAATTTTCATAGTATAAGGTCAGCAGAAATGCCTTATGCTTTTTATAGAGGGATTCCTTTATCTGACATAATCAAAACTGTGGAATGGAATGATGCTTAAGTAAAATAAAACATGTCAACTGAGGTGTGTAATTGTTATCTGCAATTACTTACTGTTAGCTTTGGCTTCATGACGCAGAGCATTTCTACCTTTTGGAACTTCTTCTACAACTGAAAAACAAATAGTTAAATAACAAACTGTAGAAAGATCTGACTTTTAAAATTACTCCTTTGCCTTTCAATGGTATAGTAGAATTTGAACTTCTATTAGGTGTTAAATTGTCTGAATAATGCTTTATTCTTACAAACTTTGTTATCAGCTTGTGATGTAAAGTTCATTGAAAAGTTTGACATATTGTTTGATGTAATCACTCATAAACAACAAATTTTCTGCAATGCAACTGAACTATTGACTGCAAATTTTTGCCATAAGATATGAGCCTGCAGGAAAAACAAGAAGTAAGCACGACTAAAGTTTTGCATTTATTTAGGATATTCTGCAATACAGACATGAAACATTGCAAAATCTTGTGTACATTGTTCATCTGAAATCAGATAGAAATTTATAGGTGGATTTTTACCTCATCTACACCTGTACATGTAGTTAATCAATGAAAATCAATGAAATGCCCTTAAGCAGCTTCATACGATTTCTTGATGGACAATTTCTTGACAGATGCTGGACAGGGAGAGAGGAAGATCCACTGACCGAGGGACAAACAGCCAGATGGACAAGGCAAAATCTATATCCCTCTGTCTTTCACAGGGGATAACAGAACAACTTTCAAAACATTAAGATCAATTATAATACCTTCTTTTGGTTCTCTTTTTTTCCTTTTCTTTGATTTCAATATAAATTCATCATCAAAATCATCATCAAGAAAGTCATCATCAGAAACATCAAGGTCACTCGGAACATAATCTGGTGAGGGTGACTTTTTACGTGCACGCATATTCCGGACTCGTGCGCTGCGTCTTCGACCTGTGTCCTCTTCACTTAGATCTGCTGGTATTGCAGGCATATCTAAACTACTGGTCTTCACATCCTTCTGTTCAACTTTCTTTTTCTGGGAATTAAACATACAAATATTAAAAAACCCAGAGATATTTGTGAAACACTTATGCCCCAGGGCAGTATACATTATGGGCAGTATACATGTACCTACTGAAATTAAAATCAATGAGGGTCATCTACCAGATGCATCAACCTATCAAATATGATGTGTCTAAGGCAACAAAAAATAAAGTCCCATATCCTCATCCTTGCCCGCCCGCAAAAAATTGCTCCGCTCAAATGATATTTTTAAACAAGAGCACCGCTAGGCGGAGCATTATATGCCCGAAAGTGTTTTTTTTTAGTAAGGATGAAGCATTTGTAAGACATGGAATTTCGCTGTTCATCCTATAAAATTTTACAGCTGTTACTAAGGTTGATTAATACTTAAGTTATTAATAATGACCTTAACCTTTGACCGTGTGACCCCAAAATCAATAGGGGTCTTCTACCTTATATGGACAATCATCCTAAGAAGTTTGAATATTGGGCCAATTGGAACTTAATTTATGCTCTAGAAACTGTTTTCAGTATTAAGGTAAAAGTGACTTTGACCTTGTGACCCCAAAATCAATAGGGGTCTTCTACCCAATATGGATAATCATCCTATGAAGTTTGAATATTGTGGGCCAAATGGAACTAACATTATGCTCCAGAAACTGTTTTTGGTTTTAAGGTAATTGTGACCTTGACCTTTGACCTAGTGACCCCAAAATCAATAGGGGTCTTTTGCCCAATATGGACATTCATCCTATGAAGTTTGAATATTGTGGGCCAAATGGAACTTAAGTTATGCTCCAGAAACTGTTTTCAGTTTTAAGGATATAGTGACCTTGACCTTTTGACCCCAAAATCAATAGGGGTCTTCTACCCAATATGGACAATCATCCTATGAAGTTTGAACACTGTGGGCCAAATGGAACTTAAGTTATGCTCTGGAAACTGTTTCCAGTATCAAGGTAATAGTGACCTTGACCTTTGACCTTGTGACCCCAAAATCAATAGGGGTCTTCTATCCAATATAGACAATCATCCTATGAAGTTTGAACATTGTGGGTCAATTGGAACTTACATTATGCTCCGGAAACTGTTTTCAGTTTTAAGGTCATAGTGACCTTGACCTTTGACCTTTTGACCCCAAAATCAATAGGGGTCTTCTACCTAATATGGACAATCATCCTATGAAGTTTTAACATTGTGGGTCGAATGGAACTTAAGTTATGCTCCGGAAACTGTTTTCAGTTTTAAAGTCATAGTGACCTTGACCTTTGACCTTTTGACCCCAAAATCAATAGGGGTCTTCTACCTAATATGGACAATCATCCTATGAAGTTTGAACATTGTGGGCCAAATGGAACTTAAGTTATGCTCCGGAAACCAAATTGCTAACAGACGGATGGACGGACGGACGGACGTACTGACGGACGGACGTACGGACGGACGGACAGACAGACAGACAGACGGACGCCAGGGGGTATAACATAATATGCCCTTTTCGGGCATATAAAAAAAGTTGATAGAACTTTCCATTTTATTATGAATGCTGAGTACTGAAAATATGTAAGTGTGAATCGATCATTCAATAATTATGTCTGTTTGAAAGTCTGTTGGTCGTCGGTCCTAGCTGAATAAAAATCAGATCAAGCCGTCCGAGATAATTTTTCTTACCATCAATCCTAATGTGCCCGCTTAAAATTTGAAGGAGCTAAAAACACCTATGACCTGTTTCATAGTAAAAACGAAATTTGTTAAAGAACTTAAAGATATTGACCTACATTAAACCAATTTTGGACAAGTCAAATAAACAGCAGTAAACTTTGTCTACATCAATATCGGCGTTTGTCATCGGTAAATTTTGCCGTCCATTACAAATTTGAAAAACTTTTTTACAATGCCTTTTGAAATAGCGGATGAAAAACAATCTAAAATAATCATAACATATTTAATCTAATATAATTAAAATCAACATCAACTAGAATTGTGAATGTTTCTGCAGGAAACAAACTTTCATTTGTCACATATTTTCGTGATGCCAATTTTTATGATGAAAAAAAAATGTGGCCAAAAGGAAGCTTCATTTTGTTAAAATGCTTTCAATAGCACTTTTAATGTAGTTTATTAATTAAAATTACTTCAGGTATTGAGAAATTTGCCATTATGTGTTGAACAATGAATATTTTCTTAAGGGATTTTCTTATTCCATGACTGCGGTGGCATTAAAAATTATGAACAACATTAAATTTTGTGAATGGCAACAGCAACATCAACGACATCATGACTGTAGCAAAAGTCTTTGTTTGTTTTTTTATTGAAAAAGTTGTGCTAAAAATGACACACAATGACGGAGGCTGATCACAATAGCTCTCCATGAGCATGTTGTGTTTTATTGACCTAACAACAGCAATGGCTTCATTAAGCAAAAAATACATAATGATGTCAAATGTGTATCACAAATATAATAAAAACATACTTTAGTCTGCTCTTTGGTAGCTTTTGTTTGTTGCCCGCCAACAGCTTTCCTTCCTCCCCTTCTAGAGTTACTTCCCCTACCTCTTCCAACCACCTGACTGAGAGGAAGATCATCATCAGAGGAAGAAGAGTCAAAGTTAACACCCCTTCTCTTTCCTCGACCTCTAGAGCTCACACGACCTCTCAACTTTGATCTTTTAGAGGCTGGCTCAGCTGGTTGCGTATCATCTGAATTTTCAGCCTTTAATGTAAAGTTGTCCAAATTTAAGGGTTAAAAAGTTGCACATTGTCCAATATACATGTATATGGAAAATATTATGGAAATGCATATGAAATTGCAACAGACACATTTTAGTTTTGCCTCTTATAAACACTTATTCGAGGGCCTCAATCACATAACGGTGAGCAGCATGCATTCATTTACGAGGCCCTCAAATCAATAATTTCAATATCACAAGACCGCATGACTCTTTGGCAAAAATGCCAAATCCGTCAATTTTTTTGCTTGTTTACTGGGCTCAGTATGTATTGCGCATAGGTAAAACCGAGCTTTAACAAGAGTGCGTGACTATGTTAACACATGGTTTGGGTCCCATTATAACATAGGCAAAAGAGGGGAAAATAGCTGATTTTATGCTATAATTAATGATAAGAGTTTATAAGAGTCAAAACTAAAATGTGTCTGTTGCAATTTCATATGCATTTCCATTTTCTTTCCATAAACTATTCTGCCCTTCACATGTACAAATATGAAAAAAAAAACTTCTAATCCTGAAACCTTTCTAATCCAAACTTTTCTTCTGGTCCTGACATGTTCAGATTAGACAGGTTCCACTGTATAAGGATACCTTACAATAGTTAATTATTACTCCTAAATATTTTTACGCACAAAAGGCATAGAAATTAAAAAGAAAGTTTAAATTCCAAAAAGACACAAAATTACCTGCCGTTTCTGGGCCTTAGATTTGCCTCTTTTGGAATGAGCAACAAGTCCTTTAACATTTCTCTGTGGCTGCCTGTCTACCTCATTGGCAAAATCATTCTTTTCATCTAATTCACTTGTATTTTGATCAGCATTTCCTTCTAATTCACTAGCTTTTTTCTCGTTTTCATTGATTTCCTTCAGATTATCTTTTTCTTTTGATTCACAAACAAATTTCTCACTAACATCTGCTGCTCCTTCCTCAGCCTTTTCTTCAACATCATTGTCACTTTTCTTACATTCAATTATCTGCTCAACTTTTTCAGTAATTTCACTTTCATTTTTATCTTTTTTCAAATGCACTTCTTGTTCAACATTTCTTTCTTTTTCACAACCAGACATGTATTTGTTATTTGTGTTTAAAGCTTTCTCCTCTGCTTTAATGTCTGCTTCATTTTTCTGATCATTTATCTTTTCTGCTTTCTTAGGAACATCATCTGGATTAGTTATTATATCCTGTTTATTATTTGATTCACATTCTTTTGATCTCATTACTTCTTTTTTCACTGTATCAGAATCTATATCATGTTTATTCTCTGACTTAAAAGAACCATTAATTTCTCCATCATTATTCAACCCAGTCTCTTTCATGATATCTGTTTCATCTAACTGTTTAACTGGACTTTTTCGGACAGCTGCCTTAACTGGACGTTTACATGGTTGTTTAGATTCTAAGTCTACATCTTCATCAGTTGAGCTACTGCAACATTCTGAATTTATTTCTTTGTTCTTTCTTTTCCTTGCTTTTTTCAAAACAGCACTGTCTGAAGGTGCTTCAATACCTTCAACATCCTCTTTTACTGAGTTCTCATCCACACTTTTTTCTATGACATAACTTTTACATTCCTTGCTATGGGACTTGCATTCTTTTCCAGTACCCATTTCCTCCACATCCTCTTCACTAACTTTTATCTTAATGACATTATCAGAAACATCACTTTCAGTGTCTTTCCTTGGTTCATCTGTGTCAATGTTTTTCACAAGGTTTTCAAGGTTGTTTTCAACGGACACTTCATCAGCAGATTCAATACTAACTGTTTTATGAGATTCATTTTCTGTACAATCATCAGAAGATCTCACTTCAGTTTCATTAATAAATAATTGTTTTGCTGTTTTATTATCATTCTCAATATTTTGTTCACTTGTTTGAGATGAACATTTTTCAGATGAATATAACAACTCTGCACTTTCTGATTTTTCATTTGCTTGAGAAGAAACAGATATTGCAGGAACTTTATTTGTATTAACAGCACCATCATTTCCTATGTCTTCTTTATTTTGTGTTTCATCACTCAATACCCTTTTGTCTATCTCCTTAGCGTTTTCCTCTTTATCATCCATTTCACTTTTATCATTTTTGTCTTCAGATAGTACAGCAGCACTTTGTTTAAATTTATTTCCTTGATTAGTTGTATTAGAATGTTCATTCATGTTATAACTAATATCTCTATTTAAGGAACTTTCACTTCTCTCAGATGTTTCAATTATGTCACTTTGTGATTCAAATTTGATTTTTATTGCAATTTCAGAGGGACTGTCTTTTTGAGGTATATTAATTTCATCTCTTTCTGTCTCAGACGTACAATCTTTGGTAGATTTTTCCTGATCCATTTCTTTTAACACTTCTGAATTTTCTAATATTGACTTTGTTTTTGTATTCTCCTCAATATTATTTTGTAAATTTGTTTCCTTTTCTTTGAAATAAACTGTATGTTCACTACAATTAACACCATCCACATTATCAGAATGTTTTTCCTTGTTATCTCCTCTTTCGCCTTCACCAGGAGAGTTATCTGAAACATCCATTTTCACAGGGGTTTTTTCCACCTCAGATGTGGCATTTATTTCCTTGCTTTTGAATTCCTGCAACCTGTTTTCTAATACTTCTGAATTTTCAACATCTCCTTTTGAACTTACACCCTTTTCTAAATTTTCTTCTCCATTTACAATGTCATCTGGTTTTTCTTCCTTTATATCAGTCTTAAAATCCATATTATCCACTTTGCCTTTCATAAAACTGTCAAGAGTTATAATATTACCATCATTCTTTGCTAGTGACTCCTCACAAACATCCTTACTATCCAGTAAACAATCAACTTCTTTTTTATGACTCTTATCTTGTATTCTATCTTCATCTTCACTTTCCGAATTAATAAGACCTTCTTCTTTCATTTTACACATAATTCTTTTAATTTCTGAACCTTTCTCCTTGACAAATTTATCTTTTAACATTTTACTAGGTGACTTGGTATCTGATTTGCTTATCTTCAACACTAGTTGTTGTTTAAAGTCATTAGATTCACCGTCTCCTGTTGCCTGTTTTATCGTAAGTGGTGAGGGGCCAAGTGGTGTTTTCTGTTTAAATGAATCTCTCGAGTCTTCATTAAAATCACTTACTGGTTCTGAAATTATTAAATATAAAAAATTGTGTTACAAGATGTTGATAAACAAGAAAAGTTTAAAAGAATGGAGGTTAATCAAGCACATTCCTAGATTATATATCCCTGCCTTTGAGACTACTCATTTCATTGAAGCGTTTTATTATCACATACCTCAGATTAAAAGTGAGAATCAATTTCATATACATGCATGTGTATTCACTTATTATGAAACAAAGACATACAATTTAGTAGTGTCAAACAAATGGATATCTTTTTAGAGATAAAATGTCATTATAAAAATACTGCTTATGATGATGGATACTCCTCAAACCTTGTCAATGTATCCAGTGCACATTACTCAATAATGCCTGTATAAGGATAAGTATAAAAATCAATTTTAGAAGCCATATCCTTGATTTTTGTGTCTGACTGTCCCATTTCTTGACCCAAAATTAAAGGACCATCAAAAGTATCTATATATTATATATAGGGTGTTTGTTTGACCAGAGACCTCGGGTCTTGACCCATAAAAATTCTAAAATGCACTTGTTTGACCTGTTATCAAATCGGCTTGCATGTCATTTTAAACCCATGATAACTTCCTATGATGCATGGAAACTTTACTGTCTCTCAATCAATAAGTGCCGCCAAAAGAATTTTGAATGGACAGAGCAATTAGCCCCGCCTACAGCTCCAGTAGGCGTGATGAATTATCCACATTAAAGCGGTTTAAGCCAATATCTGGTGAGGACACGTGTGGTTTGCATTTGATAGTGGGAAGTACAATTGCAAGTTTTCCGCTAATCAATATACACGGCATATGATGTGTACATAATAATTAACATTAATTGGTAAACAAAAGTAGTTATGTACGCGTGATGATTTGTCACACTTTCGTATTAATATTGGACTGCGGAAATTTTAATTTCACAAATTATATATAGAAGGATTGGACATTTTAAAGTATTTTTTTGCAGGTGGCTAATTTTAGTCTACAGTTATTGTTGATAATCAACCCCTTTCTACAAGTAACATCTTTTTTTTCCGCTTTTCTGATTTAAACAGAAAACAATGTTTTTGTTCAAAATATTATGCAACTGATTTGGTAATTTTCATTGTTCAAGATTCACACTGATGTCTATTTAGCAGAGTCAGAAAATTCTACACAGTTTATGTGCTGTTGACATGCAATTCATTATCACTAAAAAAACACCTGTTTGACTTAAGATTTTCTAGCACTAAACATGATTAACAAAAAGAACAACAGACAGACGACGGAGAAGTGATCCTTATTTGTCACCACTACTCCATAGAGGCCACACAAAACTGAATTAATTCACATTCAAAACCCCAGGTGCACAGCTCCACATGCTGATCATCATTCCTGTAAAGTTTCATGAGTTCAGGTTAAAATACTTTTTGAGCTACACATCACACAATTTGAAAATTGCAAATTTAAACTAAATCAAGGGCAATAACTCTGACAAACTCAATTAATCCACATGACAAACCCTAGGTGCACAACTTCACATGCTGATTAACATTTCTGAAAATTATCATGACTCAAGAGAAATACTTTTGGGATTACAAGCAACACAAGTTGAAAATAGCTATTTTTATTAAGTCAAAGGTTATAACTCCAACAACTAGATCAATCCACACACTAAGCCCCAGGTGCACAACTTCACTTGCAGATGAACATTCCTGTAAAGTTTCTTGACTCTAGCTCAAGCCCCTGTGACACAACATGAGTGGAGACACAAAAACTGTTATATACCACATATCAAAGTTTTGGGCATTGTACCTTCAGACAAGAATATTTTTAAAATTTGCATTTTTAAAACCTCAAAAACCAATTTAATGGCTCTGTGACTTAAACACTAATAAGGGACAACCCGAAGATAATTCTTGTGTAGTTTGGTTAATATCAATTCATTGGTTTCAATAGGAGTCATGGACAATGACAGACATCATGCTCACAAAGAAGCTTACCTTAGCACTTTTTGTGCTCAGATGAGCTAAATCATTAATAATCAACATCACCTGATTGGTCAGAAGACTCCTGTTTATCTAATTTCATGCCTGTACCAGTTTCAAGACCAGTTACCAATTTTGCAAGATCTTCTCTGTTTCTAAAAATACACACAAAATAACAACTATTTGCCATGATTCCATAACTATCTCCTGCGCACTTGTCTTTAATTTATAATGTTTTCTGCCAAAATAAAGAAATTGATGATCAATGATCACATGATGGAAACAAATGTATAAAGAAATTGATGATCAATGATCACATGATGGAAACAAATGTATAAAGAAATTGATGATCAATGATCACATGATGGAAACAAATGTATAAAGAAATTGATGATCAATGATCACATGATGGAAACAAATGTATAAAGAAATTGATGATCAATGATCACATGATGGAAACAAATGTATAAAGAAATTGATTATCAATGATCACATGATGGAAACAAATGTATAAAGAAATTGATGATCAATGATCACATGATGGAAACAAATGTATAAAGAAATTGATGATCAATGATCACATGATGGAAACAAATGTATAAAGAAATTGATGATCAATGATCACATGATGGAAACAAATGTATACAGAAATTGATGATCAATGATCACATGATGGAAACAAATGTATTGTATCACATTACCTTGCCACTTTTGTGACTCCATAAAAATGGTATTGCATGACTGTGCATGTATTTGATGTGACCTCATTTGCATTATGCAAACATGGTGTAAAGTTTGAATAAATGTTACTATAAGCACAGTAATCAAAAAGTGATTATTTTCTCATGTTCACTGTTCTTATTTTTATTTGCTTTGTGATAAATAAAATATTATCTTTGTGTAAGTTCTTTACTAAATTTATTGATCTCATTGAATAAAATAATGTAAAGCTTGCATAATTATTTTTTTCAACTCATTGACATTCAATACATTCAGTATAGAACCTATACCCATTCAGTATCATCTATATGTTTATTTAATTAAAAATTTTGAATCACCACATTTCTAAATAACTTCCATGGCAAACATTTTAAACATTTCAAATATTTATACTTCAAAATTCAAAGCCCTAGACATTGGAAGACATTATTTTGGAATTTAAATACAGAATCAGCGTAAGGTAATTAATTAAATATGCTACAGTGGTCAAAATGAAACTAGAAGTGACTCTCAAGACAGTGTACTGAATAGAAGAGCATGATTGAAATGACAACAGTGAAGGGCAGAGATATACCTGCAGACAAGTTCCCAGGACTCCGAGTCAACATCATCTTGATGCTCTCTATAAACACGAAGGTTCAACTCTTTATCCTGTAATTATAAACAAAACATGATTGTGTTTTATATGCTACCTTTACATTAATAATGTCTGCTTCTCTTCTTTTAGACTGACATCATGCCAATTCAAATGTAAGTGGTCAATGTACAGGTAAAAATACATAGAACTTGTCTTTTTGCCATAGCTGTGTTTGATTTTATATTTTACTATGAAAAAATAATCTATAATCCATAATACAACAGAAATTTCTATATACAAAGTTCAGAATGTATGAGTAATGCTAAATTCTTAACAAGAGGGCCATGATGGCCCTGAGGTCGCTCACCTGTATATAGCCCCCCCCCCCCCGGGCCAATTTTTACCCAAGGGCTTTTATTTGAACAGACTTGGTAGACACCCATAAGAAGATGTTTCATGCTAAACATCTAAGTTCTAGCTCATTGGGTTTTTTAAAAGAAGATTTTTAAGTTTTTACTATACACATATAGTTAAAAACAATGACACCCCTGGGGCAGGGCCAGTTTTTGACCCCCGGGCTTTTTTATTTGGAACAAAACTTTGTAAGATATTTACTTAAAGATGTTTCATGTATAATATCTAAACTCAAGCTATTTGGGTTTTTTCAAAGAAGATTTTTAGTTTTTGCTATATACATATAAGGAAAAAATCAAATGACCCCGGGGCGGCTCAGTTTTTGACCCCAGGGCTTTTATTTGAACATACTTGGTAGACACCCATTAGAACATGTTTCATCGCTAAATATCTTAGCTCTAGCTCTTTGAGTTCTTTAAAAGAAATTTTTTAAGTTTTTACTATATGCATATAGGGAAAATCAATTGACCCCCTGGGGTGGGGCCCAATTTTGACCCAGGGCTTTTTAATGTTGAACAAACTTGGTAGACCTCATTAGGAAGATGTTTCATGCTAAATATTTAGCTCTAGCTCTTTGTTCTTTTAAAAAGAAGTTTTTAAGTTTTTATATATGCATATAGGGAAAATCTATGACCCCCTGGGACGGGGCCAATTTTGACCTCCAGGGCTTTTAATTTGAACAAACTTGTAGATCATTCACTAGAAGATGTTTCATGTCCAAATATCTAAGCTCTAGCTCTTACGGTTCTTTAAAAGAAAGATTTTTTAAATGTTTTTACATATGTATATAGGGAAAATCAATGACCCCCCGGGGCGGGGCAATTTTGACCCCAGGTCTTTTATTTGAACAAACTTGGTAGACACTCCACTAGAAGATATTTCATCGTCAAAATATCTTAGCTCTAGCTCTTTTGGGTTCTTTAAAAGAAGATTTTTTTAAAGTTTTTTAACTATAATGCATATTAGGGAAAATCTAATGACCCCCTGGGGCAGGGCCAATTTTGGACCTCAGGGCTTTTATTTGAACAAACTTGGTAGACACTCATTAGAAGATGTTTTCATGCTAAATATTTTAGCTCTAGCTCTTTGGTTCTTAAAAGAAGATTTTTTAAGTTTTTACTATATGATATAGGGAAATATCAATGACCCTCTGGGGCGGGACCATTTGACACCCAGGGCTTTTATTTGACAAATTTGGTAGACATTCACTAGAAGAATGTTTTTCATCCCAAATATCTAAGCTCTAGCTTTTACAGTTCTTTAAAAAGAAGATTTTTTAAAGTTTTTTACTATAATGCATATATAGGGAAACACAATGACCCACCGGGACGGGGCCAATTTTGAACCACAGGGCTTTTATTGAATACAAACTTGTAGACACTCACTAGAAGATTTTCATCGCCAATATCTTAGCTTCTAGCTCTTTGGGTTCTTTAAACAAGAAAAGATTTTTAAGTTTTTACTATATGCCAATATAGGGAAAATCAATGACCCCTGGGCGGGGCCAATTTGACCCTAGAGGCTTTTATTTGAACAACTTGGCTAGACACTCATCATAGAAGATGTTTCATGCAATATTAAGCTCTAGCTCTTACGGTTTCTTTAAAAAGAAGATATTTTAAAGATTTTTCTTCGGTGCCATGGCAACCAGAAAGTTCTGCTAATGAAATGGAATTATTTGAACAATCTTGATAGAGCTTCCATACAAAAGAGTATTCCTGCCAAGTTTCCATTAACATTGGGCCCTTGCGGTATCACAGAAGATGTCCCTTAGAATATTTAAAATGTGGACGGATCGACGACAGACGATCGGACGCCATTTGGTTGGCCTCCATAAAAGCTCCCCTGCACTTTTGTGCAAGGTGAGGCTAAAAAGAGTGGGCAGTCTTTTGTAATTTTGGTAGTTTTTATATTGTATTATAAACAATTTTCATTAGCAATTACATGTAATGATGAAACATCATTATAAAAGGAATTCATTTAAAATATATTGCTCATTCAACTTGACAGTGAAACAAGAACTGTCGGAGGACAATAAGGCTCGACTATTCCAAAAAGTTGTCACAAGTATGTTTTATTGAGTATAATAATGCTTACCTATGAATACATAAAATTGACAGAAAAGGTACATAGGCTTGTTATTAAGATGTTTAATCAAGTAAATCACTGCTTTATTATTATGAATGCATAAAATGTCCAAGATAACAGCTAACAAGCAAAACTTTACCATGAATTTCTAAGTTGAAAGGGGAGAAAAAATCAGCCAATGCAAGATAGAGTTATGGACTTGGTCCAGTGACATACAATTAAGTGAACATAATGCATATCAAATCTCTGATAGTTATTGAGATATGTAACTTACATGTAAACATTAACCAGAGACTTAGTAAAAAAGGTGATATAAAATCAGCACAGATATGATCGCTGTTTCGGTGATATTATTTATGACCACAAATATACATAGATTGTTTTCAAGTTTGTAATTTCAGGAGATATGCCAAAACCTTCTTGTTAAAAACTTAACCAAGAAAAGGAGAATTTTTTTAATAGCAAAAGGGAGCAAAATGAATTCAGTCAAAATTACATGGCAGAGTAATGAATTTGAAGATGTGACCTTAAATTATGACCCTAAGTACATGTGTTAAAGTTTCAAATAATATCTTTGAAGAACCTTTAAACCTTTAAACTCAAATTTCTAAGTTCAAGGGGCAAATAATTCTGCAATATTGCAGGCAGAGTTATTCAACTTTGCAAACTGATGTACATTGTTACTTAAATAAGTATGTAAGTGTCAATTGAATTATCTCAAGCATATTGAGATATTTTTGACTTTCAAAAACTTTAAAACCAAAATTTCTAGTTAAGAAGGGGCATAATTCTTGTAAATATTGGTAGGCAGAGTAATCCACTTTCAATCTGAATATACATTGTAACTATAAATAAGTATTGTAAGTTTCAATTGAATATATTCAAGCTATAATTTGAGATATTTGACTTTACCAAAAAACTTTAAACCAACGCAGATCTAAACGCGGACCCCGGGGCGACTAAATAGCCTCATATCTTCGAATAGCAAGCTAAAAAGAGCAAATTAATCTCATTCAGGTTGCGTCAATTTTCATTTAATCATTTAAATACAAAAATTAGAAAAAATAAATTTGGCCCCATTTAAAAGTGGTATATGCTCCCAACAGCTTTTTTTTTGTAAAATTAAAAAAACCGAATTTTACACATTTTTTTTTTTTCATTTGGATACACAATTGGGGAATACGAGGGTTTTATTAATATTTTTGCAGAATTCTCCCCTTTAATTTTTTTTTCATCAAACACATGAAAAAATTTTTTACCAGAAAAACAACTTATTTTCCTTTTAATCAGGTAGTTTTTAATGTACAATACTTAAAAAGAATAAGCAGAAGTAAAGAATAAGATAAATGAGGGGAACTTAAAAACGGCGATGACATCAACAAAACATTGAGAGTGGCAGTTGAAATTTTGTGACAGATTTTCAAACTTTAACTAGAGAAAATTTAAAAGGGTTAACAAGAGGGCCATTATGGCCCGATTTTTCCCTCACCTGTTTTTAACTGAATTTTTCTTGGTGTAAATTATGGTTTATGGCCACCATACAAAAAAATTAACAGGTATAAGATTGGGTTTTTTTCATTTTTACTTATATGTAAAAATCCTTTTTCAAATTTTTCACCTTGTTATGAAAAAAAAAACCATTTTTCAAAAAATTAGACTTACAAGAAGGTACCCGTATGCCATGCCATCTTTGTCTCTCCCGACAGGTTGAAATCTCATCTCTTCTACAGGGATCTCATTTACTTTGTCTTTAAATTATGTTACAATCAAACTGAGATTCCTATCAAGTTCTGAAAACATACAACAGGAATGGTCACAAAATCAGGTTTTCAGCCAATAAGTTAATCCCATCAAAACTGTTAGGGGCCTTGCACATAGAAGAGCATTTCTCTATTACTTAGATATTAAAATATATATATATATAATGGCCATACTTTCCCTGGCAGCAAGTGCCACCCCAAGGGACTCAGGGCCACACTCTTTTTCACATTTACAAAGGCAAATACATTGAAGGAAGCATATTGCAATGAAGGGTTTTCAAAGCCTTTATTCTTTTTGTACAGAATTAACATAAAATTTCATATTTGACCTTGACAGTCCATGTCATTAAGAGTCAATATCCAACTTTGACTAGAACTATCACTAAATCTCATTTTATTATAAGTTCTCATTCCTAACTCTAGTTATCATTCATAAACCATTTTTCTACTTTTAGTAACAAAGACATTGACCTTGATCTAAGGAAATAAAAACAATCTCAAACAAGGTCTCCACATAAGCTTGCTATATACCAAGTTTGATTACAATATCTCATTCCCAACTCTTGTTATAAATCATTTCTATATTTTTAGAAACAGTGACCTTGACCTTGATCCCATGTCCACTTTAGACTTAAGATAATTGTTCTTTGTCACCACTCACATCATGTATGACGATGTTCATAATTCTAGCATCTTTATTTTAAAGAGTTATCTCATCTGTCTGGCCTTCTCTAAAAACTGTTTTCTGAGATAACTTTTAAAGAACTTGGAGTTTTTCCAACAAATTTACTTAATATAGAGAAAAGTTGAAACATTTGTTATACATATTCACCCTGAGAAAATTGGATCTTTTGATTATCTGATACATGTATAAACATAATTTCCTTATAAGGCATGGAAATTTAACATATTATTATGATGCAGATAAACTAAGAACTCAAAATACAATGTATTTAATGTTCATGCATGTCTTCCACAATGGTTTAACTGAATGACAACAGCCCTTCAGAATGTTGCTGGTATTTTAACTGGTAGGGGACTTTTGTATTGCTTGCAATATTATGATATATCTTGTTCAGATAAGTTTCTTGATTGGGTCTGTTCCCTAATTGAAAGAATATTTTGATTACTCAGACAAATTTACATTCGGGTATATATTGTCCCACCTTGGCAGTGCTTTTGTTTATCATTTCATAAACTGGTAAGGGACTAAAAATGTTTATCTTAATTATCTTTATGATACTATATGACCTCAAAGGTGAAGGCACTTTTTACCCTAAGTGTATGATTCATAAAACTTTTATAGAGGTCTACTACATGTAGGCAATGCTATATGCCAAATATAGAGGCATAGTTTTTATCTGCAAAAAGATGTTTTCCTATACCATGGTCTACATAAAGCACGTGAATACGGGACAGGGCCATTTGACCTTGAGGATTTATTTATTAATATAAAATCTTGTAGAAATATACAACTTCTTTCTACATGCCAAAAAATCTTAGCTCTGGGCTTTGTAATTTCACACAATAAGACTAAATGTGTTTTCCCATATAAATCAATGCCCCCC